TTGATCATCATCATTTTGTTGCCGTTATACAGGGCTCACAGTTAATTCTTCCATTCCGTTATATTCTGCGTAACTGTTTCAGTATCACTGATGTATTTCAGTCCAGCAGCCTTAGCCTCTCTCATAATCGTTCGTTTAAAGCCCTCTTCTTCTCAATCCAATGGTTTTACTCTGTTGGTTTCAATAAAGAGTACTGTTAATATATAAATCAAGTGGCTTTAATTGGCAACGTAAGGTTTAAAAACCGTCCATCTTGCTTTCAAAAACCTCATGAATTTTAAAAACCGCTAGCGTAGTATGTTAAACCCAACTTAGCGGCGACCGGGTGACGAGCTCCTTGTGGTCCGGGTTCACGCCCCGCAGGCTGGCAGAAAAGCCTAATTTCTCCCAGATTTACTGTATCTATCACGGAATCAAGGCCGAAGGGTTGCGATATCTATAGTACCGAGTCAAAGGGTTAACAACTCATTGTTTCTGGATACTTAAAACAAAACCGTCCAGGCAGGGTGGAAAAGTGTTATTTAAAGTTATCTAGACCGCTTCGCCACACAGGAAAAGCAGTAACTGACCATTGTCTGCGCCTTCAGGCATACTAAACATTAGTGTTAGACCTATATTTTAAAGGAGAGTCGCAGTGCTGCAGTGGCAAGACGCTCGCCGGTGGAACGAAGGTCGCAGGTTCGGGCTCTGACGGAACCGGACTTGTTTTTTTCTTTCTTTCTTTCAAAAATGACCCTGGCACCCAGGTCGACCCAGCCTTGAGGGGGAGCAGGTACCGTTCTGAAAACTAAAGGCGGCCGATGTGATGTCGACCACACCACCCAACTACCGTGTTTGGAGAAGCAGCGTTTGAACTCAGTACATCAAAAACGCCACGCTAAACCCGGAGATGGACCAATGCATCCCCACGACCCAAACCGGGTCACGCCTTATTGGCCAACCCCTCCCGCCCTCTTTAGACACTCAGTGTACGCTGTTTGTGGGCGTCTACTCCGTCTATTTCCTCGTTATAGTGTACCCGTTCTTTGCTCTCCGTCCGTGCGTTGGTGATAAATACGACAGTACCTGTCCGTGACATCCCTTTGAAGGAAGTTTTTCGCCAGGGACACAGATGAGTATCATTTATTTTGTACATTAGTCCCATGTAGTCACTTCATAGTTAGAGCATATTTGTGTATGTGTACTGTATTGTTCTTTATGTGCTGATGAAGGCTAATCGCCGCAACGTCCTTTGTTTGTTTATTGTGATCGATTTTTGTAAAGCTTACATAAACTTTGTTTTTTCTAACCAACTTTTTCTCTTTCCTATAATTTCCCAACGCTTCAAAAACACTAAACCCTAGACAAGCTGTCCGACCAGTCTCACAGTGAGTCACTTATCTGCATCATTAAATGTTATCTTCTCTTTCTTCATAGTGCACGATGATTCAGCCTACCAGGTCGGCAAAATACCTTTCCCCCGCCGACGACAGCCTAGCGTGTAAACTTTATCGGCAGTTACAGGCAATATCCTGCGGTGAAGGGTTAAAAGCTCATCGTGTCTGCAACGATAACAACAGGACATAACAGGAATTAGTGGGCCTGGACAAGAAAAGATAAGAAAATCCGAGAAACTTTCAGCCAAGGGAAGCAAAGGCGGCGACTTTAATGTTAGAAAACAATTATGTTTGTTTTTAACCTTCCAAGGTTGAGGAATAAATATCTTTCATCTCCTTGCTAGAAAATCACTTTCAAATAAATGTTAACAGCATACCCGTCTCCCCTCCCCGCAAACCTCTCGATGAAAAGAAATATTCAGCTGGAAGTTACCAGAGTTCTGGACGATTTGCTATCCGCAGAGGAAAGCAAGCGAACTTTAAATCAGGTTGTAAGTGAACTCTTCATTGGCTTCTGAGGAAGGGGATAGAGCACGTACAGGAATGTCTCGGTTGAAGTGATTCAATTCTTGATTCTCGTATTCTCCCTCTCTATCTTTCTCTATATTGCTCTCTTTCTTTCTCTGGCCATCTCTCTCTCTCCCTCCTTCCCCCCCCCCTCTCTCTCTCTCTCTCTCTCTCTCTCTCTCTCTCTCATACACCTACTCTTTATTTCCACAACTTTCTCATCCCACCGCTATTTTTAGATATGATAAAGAAAGCCAAGATTTGTAGGTTGGTGGGAAGAGAATTTTTAACCTACAAGCTTCTTCTTCATATATTTCAACATGAGAAATGGTTTTTCTTTTTCCTGCCACACAAAATAAGCAGTCAGTCAGTAGCCTGTCCTCTGCAGAACCTTGCTCCCATAACCTTCCGGAAAACTCGATTACAAGCAAGATGTCCGACACACCCATCTGGAGAACATCCCCTATATCCCGCACCCATCTTCGCTTTAGCCTTCCTCTTTCTCTCTTCCCAGGCATTTACCCCTTATTGTTTTTTCATAACTTTCGTGACGTTTCAAGTGACCAAAATATTTCAGTTTTCTGTGTTTTATTGTCTTTAATGGCCAACCTTCTTCAATATTCAGTTCTTGGAGTATGGATGCATTTGTTCTTTTCTCTACCCATGATATTCTTAGAACCCGTCTATAACATTTGTATTCAAAGGCATTTATGAGCTGTTCAGTAACTGTCCAGGTCTCACATGCAATAAAACAAGCAGGCGAACTATAAATTTAACACGCGATAGCGAGAGAGAGAGAGAGAGAGAGAGAGAGAGAGAGAGAGAGAGAGAGAGAGAGAGAGAGAGAGAGAGAGAGAGAGAGAGAGAGAAGATAGGCGACAGACAAACGCCTATCCAACAGAGCTTTTCCTGTCTTTAAAAAAAAACACCTTTCCCCTTCCCGTTTGGGAATTCAAAACAGAAAACATGAAAGTAGCCAACTGGCAACATGACTAAACCCCTTATGTAAGCCAGAAGCAGCAACAGGCAACACTATGCAACTATACTGATGACAGCAGGGGAACGTGTGTGTGACCATAAGAGAATACTTTTAGACTATCAGTGGGGGAAGAAGGCAGCAAATCAACAAACGGTGACAGTACACATAATGCCACACTATCAACAAACGTGTTTTCAGAAGCCATTAAAATATCAATAACGTCAGATTAAAACTATCATTGTTCAGAATAAGAAAATGAGACCAAGGTAAAGTGTTCTAGGTGTGACCTCTTGGGTGAGAATATTTGCCAGTTAAAAACTTTCTTTCTCAGATTTTCAAATAAAACAACAACACACACACACTAAAAACATTATATACACACTTATATTGAGACTTAACAGACTGAAAAAAGACTGTTTAATAATTACAAAAAAATTTGTTTAAAAAATGGGGGGGGGGGGGGGGGGGGGGGGGGGGAGGTTCATATACTGATTGCAATATTTTTGTATTCTCAATGTCATTAATTTCACTCCATATCAATTCTGCTGTTGACTGACAGCATATTCGTTCCAGCTCTGTGTTACCAGTGCCAAACATGGTCATTTATCAGTAAAGAAAATTAGTTTAAAACAATGAGTAATCATGATAATAAGATGTCTGAGAAGTGCTGCATGAGTGACCAGGGACTTTCAGTCCCAGGCAGTTGGTACTTCAGCTCATTCTTACACTTAACTTTCAGCTCCAGGCAGTTGGTACTTTAACTCATTCTCACATTTAACTTTCAGTCCTAGGCAGACTTAAGCTCATTTTCCCACTTAAATGTTATTTCCTGGCAGTTGGTACTTTACGCATTCTCCACTTAACTTCCAATGACAGGCAGCTGGTACTTCAACTCATTCTCACATTTAACTTTCAAAAGCAAGTTGGCACTTTAACTCATTCTCACACTTAACTTTCAGTTTGAGGCAGCTGGTACTTTAACTCATTCTCACATTTAACTTTCAATAGCAGGCAGTTGGCACTTTAACTCATTTTCATGCTTAACTTTCAGTCGCAGACATTTGGTACTTTAAATGATTAGCACACTTAACTCTCAATCACAAGAAGTTGGTATTTTAACTCATTCTCACACTTAACTTTCAGTCACAGGCAGTTGGTACTTAACTAAATCTATCTAAAGCTGTTGCTACTTCTTCTTTTTCTGCCTTTTCTCCCCCAACCAACTCTTGTAATGTTGTCATATATGTTGCTATCATATGCAGCTCACCCCATGTCCTTCCCACCCTTTTAACTTCACTGTCTAGTTAGTTGTTAATAATTAAAAAGTACTTTATTTTCACTCCAATGTTGCAAACGTGATCTAGATTTCTGCTTATACTTTTTACACATTCTAAATTGAGAGGTGTATATTGTTCATGCTGTTATGGGGATTTTGTGAGAGATCTCTTTTTGAAGATTTTATGTACTTGTTAGTGGTTGTGCTGTTTCTCTAATATGCTGATGAAGGCTTTCTAGATGCAACATTCATACTGCTATTTGTGATTGTGATAACATGAAGCTAACTAGTTCTATGAGTACTTCTTGTCGTGACATTTTTCACGTATATCACTTTACTCACTGGGTCAATCGAATCATTATCAAATAATAACTTCCTAGTACTATCACATGCCGGGTATACAAATTGTACAATTACAATCATACATACACAGTAATATCTAACGGCTGTCATATATAAGACTGCTAAGACAAGTGTGTGAATTAGTCAATTACTGGTATGTACCTTAATTTGTAGAAAATTAATATAATAAGTAAATGAATACCCGACACCCCGGTCTTTGTTCTTTCAATCAAGTGAGTATAGTTGGTGAGTCTACTATACTGGCCCTGTGAACTCAACTAGTTAATAAATAGTAGGTGCAAATGAGACTGTCAATTGCATTTCATGTAAGAACTAGTAAAAACGTTCCTTAAACGTGCATATCTTTTACTTTTATGACATAGAATGGAAGAGAAACGACAAATCTGTAAAGCGTATGGGGGGAAATCCTAGCTGGAGAAAAAGGAAGACAAAAACTTAACCGCCGGCTTCACATGACGTCCTGCTCAACAATCACATTACATGATGAACATTGACTCACCTTTGGTAATTTCCTCAAGGATATGAGCCTTTTCTTCCTCCGAAAATGGTTCGCCTATTATAAGAAGTACTGTAGCACTGGGTGTTAACTGCCCTGGTACACTGGGATCCATCCTGGCTTTGTAAACGGGCGACCTATTCACAAGACAAGCTCACAAACTTGACCACGAAGTGCAAGATGTTGATTTTTGTCTGCTAGGAATTATCGTCTGGGGAAAGCGGCACGAAAGTCGGATATATCTCATCATTTCATTGGTCAATAGCCATGTAGACTTCTCAAGGGAACCAATAGAAGCTGCTTGTACAATATTCTTTGGCTAAGTTTCCGGAGAAATGCCGGCAAAACACGGAAAATAACGACTACGTAAACAACTTTCAGTTTCTGTCAACAAATTTCTCGGTAAAATGTGATGGACATTGTTGTAATTAACAAATGTTATAATATTGTGTCTGTCACAACATTCTGTTGTATAAATATAATTATCTTAAACCGAACGGTGTTGTTAAAACGAATATAACAGTTTGTCATTTAGCATTTTCCTTAACAATCAATTAAATTGCTGTCCACATATACCAGTTTCCGATACCTGGCAATACTGTTTGTAGTTTGTAGGTATCATATGACATGAATTATTTAAAAGTAAATGGTTAGACCGTAATAAATCAACCTACATGTATTGGTCGGTACTCATAGAAGCTGAGGAAAGAATCAGAGATAGGACGCATAACCTGCCAGACAACCTGTTGTGATTCATATATCATATCGTCCATGACCACAGCTGCTTGTGGGCAGACTGACAATTAATTAACAATAATTATTTTAATTAGTAGTAATAATTTTCTTTCTTGCGCCGTCATAAATCAGATAATTATATATAATGCCTCATAGTTCATTATTACCGGCTCTACTTTGAACTTCCCCATAAAATGGGGCAGCTACCGCATCTCCTGCAACTTCCTCCAATTACTTTACTCGTGAGTCCCGGGCACCTAATACAACTGTCAATATTATTATTTATTTTAGACTCAGGACAGGGCTATTCAGCTAAGTTTACATAGGGGCCATAATTTTTAAAAAATTGGTAAATCACCACAGGCCAAAGGCTCGAGCCTCAGCATTGAAAAATTAATACAACACACCTCTCAGTGATCCACTTGCTAGGTCTCTGCAGGCCACCAATTGAATCGCCCTCACAGGGGCTTTAGTACCAAAAATACCAGTGCTACTAGATTGTAGTAATAGTAGTAGTATACCATTCTTCTTCAGTATTACAAGCCCTTCAGGTTCATTTCTACAGATAACCCCTATCTTCACCCATCTCTGTTCATATCTGTTATTCCTATATCGATGCTTGGATATTTGTTTCTTGGTGAAATAAGGTTTTGCAAAGGTAGAGGTCAACCCTGCAGTTCGACACCCAACCTGGCGGACCAGGGTGAGGATGTCTCTATTTGTCTGTTCTCTACTCTTTGACCTGTTTGACTTGGAAGGCCATGCTGCTAGCTACACCACTCTACTTGCGGCATAGCTAGGGTAAGCTCCCTCACCACACATGCGGATACTATATGTCCATTTAATGTAAGGTTGTGTTGACCCTCACTGAGTTACTGAACTAAAAACCACGGAATTAACCCTTAAACCACCCAGCTCTTACTCAAGTATTAAATACTAATTCCACTGGTATTGCTACTACTATTAAAAAGTTTTAAGGTTAAAGTAATAACATTTTTTCTGTTATCTGTATCAACGTCCTAGCATATAGGTCCATTTAATTCATGGTCGGAATCCCATGCAGTTGTCATCTCATTTAAATTAGTGTGAATAATTCATGTCATTTGCAACATTGTGGATTGTTCATATTAATGAGAAAGTAGGTGTCAGAGGATATCTAACAAACAAGTAAATTGTAAACTAATGTACTTTGATCATCATCATCCTCATAATTTTTTGCCATTATATGTCGCAAAGGGCTGACAGTCTATTCTTCCATTCTGTTACATCTATCCTATGCAATTGTTTCAGTATCATGGATGGAATCCAGTCAATTGATGTGGTGTCTCTCATAAATGTTTGTCTTAGAGTTTCCTTTGGACATCCTCACCTCCTCACTCCATTAGTTTTCCTGTCAAGGGCCTGTTTGGTGATTCTCTGTTTGCTTCTTCTTTGGATGTGCCGAACATATCAACATCTTCTTTGTCTTATAACTATTGATAACAGTGGTTACCCTGTCATTTTTCTTATTTCTTTATCTTTCTTAAATCACTCAATTTAATGTTCGTCAGTTTCCTTAGGAATTTTTTTTTTCTCCATGTGTTCTTCTTCTTTGCATTCACTGGCTGTAAACTCCTTTAGAACCTTCTGGTAGTTCATCCACTGCTGGACTTTGGTCTTGATGCAGAACTGTGTTTTGCATGAACATCTATTCAACAGATCTAGCTTATTGGAGTGCAGATTGTTGGTTTCCAGCCTCTCACGCAAATTTAGTCCACCTTTGAAGGAAACACTCCTAATTAATTAATTAATTACCTGTTATGACATGCTTTTGCTGGGGGGGGTGAGTATGATTTCCAAAATCGAGCCCTGGAACCCAGTAGGGGAGTATTTATTCAGCATTCGTTTTCTGTTTTTTGGTGGTACTTCAACTTTCACTGGCGTATAATGAAATTGAAAAAACATTGTAATTGAAAATGTGTACTTTAATGGACAAATCAAAATTTCAGTGCATTGTGTGATCAGCAGTGTTGGGTTTATCTGCCCTAATAATGCATATGTATATATTATTTTCTTCTTTTGCCTTTCTATCCCCCAATGGAGCATAGGCCCTCAATCAACTCACACCAAGTCGTTCTATCCTTCGCCATTACATGGAGCTCTCCCCATGTCCTCCCATCTTTCTAACCTCATTCTCCAGCTCTCTTCTCCATGTGTTTTTTGGCCTTCCTTTATTCCTATGCCCCTGTGGGTTCCAATGCAAATACATTCTAGTTATGCTGTTCTCCTGTTTTCTCAGTGTGTATCCTATCCAACGCCAGCGTCTTTTCCTCACCTCTTGGTCCACTGGAGCCTGTTTAATTCTCTCCCAAAGTTCTACATTAGTTATTCTATCATACCATTTTATTCCCTCTATTCTGCGCAGGAACCAGTTAATGAATGTCTGTAATTTATTAGTAATTGCCTTGGTTGTTCTCCATGTTTTCGCCCCATACAATAGTACTGGTTTGACATTAGAATTAAAAATTTTTAGTTTAGTATTTCTTTTAATTTCTTTTGAAATTATTATTTTAGCCATGTTAAACATCTTGGTTGCTTGGAAGAACGGTGATGGAGGGTACAGAGAGAATGAGAGAGAGACCATTTACTCAGGATCGATGAGACGCAATAATGACTTAATAAATTATCTGCACAATGTTTGTCTAAGCCTTTTACATACAAACATTGTATAAACAGTATATTCCTGTACATAACAGGTTACTACGTGTGAGTTGGACCATGGCCGAGGATATGGAAATAGATGACTCTTTGTACAGGTATGTTTTCTTCTCCCCCGCCTCATCCACATCACCGCACCCCTTGTCCTCTTTTTTTATCTTCATTTACTGCTGTTCTAACAAACTGCATTGGGGGGGGGGGGGGGGATTGGGTAGGGAATAGGAATAAAAGTAAAATTGTCGCTGATATTTTGAGAGCTGAGCGTCTGAGAACAAGCACAGCAAATACATGTTATGGCAACAACGGTCCTGAAATCCGAAGCTTTAATTGCAGACTTTTTTTAACACGTGCAGGTCTTGCTAGTCATACCTACCGTCATGCCTTCCCTTGGCACAGTATAACACTGTCATCTGGAAAGATAGAAAAGTGCCAACAACAAAAAGGGCAGAAGTCCAGTTTAAAAAAAAATATTATGTTGCTGTACTGTATTTAAAAACTTTGAGACCTCAGAATACCAAATCTATTTGCATAATTTTTGCCTCTGGGAGTTAGCATTAGATTAATTCTCAGTTAGTTGCGTATCCTTTGCAGGACGTTGCAGAACCAGCCCCAGCACTTTCTGACTGTTGTGGTTTTCCTAGGCAAATTTACGTCCAGTGGTTTGCCATTGCTTTCTGGACGGTCAGCTCTCAGTACCACTGTCGAATCCAGTGCAAAACAAACCGTCCGCAGCAGGGATCGAACACGGCAACCCGAAATTACAGAACGCGTTCACAATGCCTAAGCCACAGATGCCGACAGCATTTGATTAGCAGTTGACAAAACACATGGTTGTTTTCAGGAACATGTTTGGTTATCTATTAAGCCAGGCCACATATGCACTAAGATGGTAGACTAACATCTGTGAGACTATTCTCTCTGTCAGCATGACATTACCAGAGTTCTTGTGGACACAGGATATAAGCGACTGCTTGAATATGAAGGTGCATGAGGCAGGAGAGCTGGCGCGAGACCAAGTTTCTTTCAGGCAGACTGTGGTGAGAATGACTTTCTGTAAAGGACGAGTTACCTGACCATCATGACGAAAATGTGGTTTTATAAACGAATGATGAGAATACCCTGAACTTATGAAAAGAGTAATGAAGAGGTCTTGAAAGAAACTTTTCACAGAGAGACTGATTGCCAAATCAGAAGGAGATAAACTACATTCTTTGGTCATATCATGAGAAGGAGAAAACTGGAGTACATCATGGCTGTGGGAAGGGTAAAGGGGAAAACTGGCAGCGCAAAACCAAGATAGAAGATGCTAGACAGTTTGACATCATGGCATGGAAGATCATCTGTGTCATAATTTATTGAAAGTACATGAGAGACAAAAGGTTGCAGAGAGATATGACTACTGGTGCCACACCTTGCATGGACTATAATAAAAATAACATACTGTCCAGTCTAAAGATATCAAGCACAGATGACAGATGTGTGTGAAGGAACATGATTACCTGTATCACTCAACATGGTACACGCTGAAAATATAAAAATATAGTAATGGTGTGTGCAAACATAACTTCCATATTTTGTTGTTTGCTTGTGTTCACTGGCAGCAAACCCTCTCGGAAATACCTGGTTGTTCGTCCATTTCTGGACTTTGACTTTGTTTCAGGACCTGAGTTTTGAGTGTGCATGCATCTGTTTAACAGGTCTTGCTTATTTGTATAGACTGTTCCTTGCTTCTTAGGCAGATGCACACCAACTTTGAAGGAAGCTGCCAATGAGTCGACTCTTACACATCTTTGTTGGGGTATCAGTAGGACCCCGGAACCTACATGAGGGTTAACCTTTTATATATTAATCGTTGAGGTATTGGCCACATTATAAAAGAAAAGCTGAAGCATGCTGTGACAACTAAAAAGATTTAAGGAAAAAGAGACAGAGAAAAGCAGCAAGAATTACTCTTGACAGACTTATTTCATGGCATGGAAAGTTGTCAGTTTCTAAACTGATGCTCAATGTGATTGCATTATGTGAAGTATGATCGCATCTGCTGGTCAGCAAGCACTTACTTGATGATGATGATAATAATTCACTTCCCTTAAAATACAGCAAGAGGTGTAGTGTGTTTTAGTTAGATTCTTATTTTGCTGCAGCTGCCCTGAAAAGTGTGGCCGGCATATTGTTTTGTGGTTTACGGCTGAGTTATGATATCTACTTTTTGACCCAATGCATCCGATTTAAGCAAAACCCTGATTGGTCGCCTCTTGCTTCTTAGGAGGCAGAGGGTCTTTACTTTTTTTACTCACAAGTCAGGTCCAAAACCCATTGGGGAATTATATGCTTAACATGCATGTTTATGAAATTTACTTCGAAACTTTGTAAGCTTTATGTTCCTATTCTAGCCGACAGCGCTATGTCTTGGGAGACAGTGCTATGCGTCGTATGGCAAACTCTAATGTCCTTATCTATGGTATGGGAGGCCTCGGCATTGAAATAGGTAAGTTTTTGTTTTTCATTTTGTTACCAAACTTGTTTGTTTGCTGCTGTTTGTCTGTAGCATATTACAAAAATATCTTGTGCTGGAGCTGTCTACCCTTGCATGTATCTTTTATAATGCTGACATCTTGACTATATATTGTTCCCACACAGATGCTGTATCACACATACAAATTTCTTATATAATGCTGACTTCTTGTCTATATTATATTCTATCACACATGCACACATCTTTGTTCGCACCTTTCTGTCTTTCCAGATGATAGTGTTATACAGTGCTATGAGGAAGCATGGGACTCGCAGCCTATGGCGAAGGCGAGAGTGATTAGCAAGACCCATCTGCGTTAAAGAAAGTCTTCCACAACAATTCCACTGTTGTTGCCGTCATTTATGTTAAGTGTGTTTCTTCTGAGACGCTTAGCTGTCCTCCTTTCTGCAATTATTTATTTCTTCATTCTCATTCCCTTCCTGATGTGCCCCCTCCATGCAACAGAGTCCATGGCATTTTGTTCTAACGAGTGCACCTCAATACAGAAACGCAGTAGAGTTTGTCGTTGACATATTCTACTCATCTGTAATTCATCATAGAGGATTTTTTTAGGGATTCTGTCATCCTCCATTCTCCAACTGTGTCCCAGCCTCCTGAGTCTTTATAGACTGTATTGAGAAAAGTGTTGCAATACCTGTTCTTTCTTTATGCACAAATACATATATCTCATAAAATGCTATGAGGTCAGCGTCATGCTGGCCAGCTTTACTTCCCAGGGCATTTCATGGTACCCTTCTTAGACCAGGTTAGCCTGGAAACAAAGGTCAGTTAAAACAAAAACTAAAAAACCTTTTTGATATAGATTCTTCTTCTCAACTTTCACCAGTTTTAAACTCCGGGGGACAAGTTCTGGTTGTTGGTCTTGCTCCAGAACTTGAGTTTTGTGCACATGTATTTTACACATCTCGCATATTTATATGCAGGCTGTTGGTTTACTTGCCTGTCAGGCAGATGCACATTAGCATTGAAAGGAAACAGGCCTGATTAGTCCTCCTTTGTGATAAGCTTGTTAGAAGGTCATTGAGTCTATTCTCACACCCCCCCCCCTTCCCCCACCTTCCAAAGGGGGCCTGGAATCCATACGGGTAAATGCCAATAACACCAATTGTAAAAAAGCTTTTTTGATATACGTTCAAACCCAAGACCCACGGACTATTCAGGTGGCACTGCATCACCGAAGCTCCCCTAATGTTGATATGTTTACGTTACATTGTTATCGAGAATGGTTGCCAGGATTTCAAACTGTTATTATAAAAGTATTAAATGGATATGCAAGTGTAGAGTTAAATTTCAGAAAATTTACAGTTTTAAACTAGACTTACTTGGGTACACTTTGATATGGATGCCATTTGTAGCTCTGGTGATGTCTAGATGATATTCAGTCTCCTGACACATCTTCAGAATCGTTTTCAGAGTTACAGTTGTAGTTGTAGCAGCAACCCTGTTTTTAAGTTGCTGAAAGTTGTGATGTTTGTTATCTTCTCAGCACGCTTTTTTAAGCCTCCAGATCACACAAAGTCATGTCAAACTTTAAGCTTTTGGAACATATTGAGATGCCACACGTGCATATTCATTAAATATTTATTTATAATAACAGTTTAAAATCCTGGCAATCATTCTCAGTATTCCCTGTGGTTTTTCGCTCACACACAGACATGCACACACACACACACACACACACACAGAGAGTATCTTATATATTACTAATATCTTGATTATACTTTTTTTTTGTTTTAATCAACAGCCAAAAATGTAGTCTTAGCTGGTGTGAAGGTAAGTGTGTTTTGTGGTTTCACTTCTTAAACATTATTTTGAACAGTATTCTTATTACCAGTGCCATCAGTACAAATTGTACACATGTATACAACTATTTTTATGTGTGTGCCTGCTTATTCTGCCAAGTCACAGTTAAGCATATGAGATAGCCCCACTGCCCCCCCCCCCCCACCCACTTCAGCATTCCTGCACAGTATTTTAGTCATCATCTTTTTACAGAATTAACTGAAGGACATTATTATCTGTTACATAACATAGAGAGAGAATAAATACAAGGAAAACTAAGATCATGACAAACAGTCCAAACCAACAACCAGTGACAATAAATAACAAAACACTCAAAAATGTAGAACATTTCACATATATTGGTAGTGTGGTGTCCCTACTGGGAGGGACAAAGGAAGACATACAGTCACGCCTAAACAAAGCTAGAGCTGCTTTTGGAAGGATGAGGCAAATCTGGAAATCCAACAGTTACTGCAGAGGAACAAAACTTCGACTCTACAAGAGCATCATTTTGCCAGTTCTTCTTTATGGAGCGGAATGCTAGAGATTGACCAAAAAGGATGCACACAAGCTGTCCACCATCCACCACACATGTCTATGTAAAATTATCAAAGTTTTCTGGCCAGATACAATCTCAAACACTAAACTACTTCAAGTCACAAACAAAGAAACTCTGGACAGTATGATATCAAAGAGAAGATGGAAATGGCTTGGCCACGTCATGAGAATGAATCCTGACATACCTGCTAAAACAGCTCTCACATGCACACAGAGGGAACGAAAAAGAAGGGGCGCCCATAAACAACATGGAGACGAACGATGGCGAGTGACCTGAATGCGGCATCTCTGAAATGGAAAACTGCACTAAAAATTGCACAGGACAGGAAAGCATGGAAAGTCCTCTCTGAAGCCTCATGTGCCACTAGGCATAAAGAATTGATGATGAACATAGAGAGATACTGAAAACAGTATGTTTAATTGTATGATTATGTGAGCCAAGGTGTTTTACTGCTTTCAGTCTCTGACAGTGCAAGATCCAAGAACATCTTCTGTGCAGGATCTCGGCACTAATTTTTTTATACGTGAAAGCGATGTTGTGGCATCCAAAAATAGGTATGGATATATATTTTGGAAACTGAAGTTATATCAATTTGTCAGCTTATGAAGACAAATGAAGTCTTAAAATTTAAGAGCCATTTCAGGGTTGTAATTTGTTGTGTAAAAAAGGGGGGGGGGGGGGGGGGGGAGAATGTTGCAGAAGTTAGCAGCCATTAAGTATGAGTCTCTTGCTTGAAAATATCTGCCATAAGTACTGACTGCAGTACTGAGAATATTTAAAAAATATCTGCCCCAAATTCTGATTTCATGTCAGGATTGTTTTCCCCAAAACCGATGTCATGCTAGAAATGTTCATAAATAATTGTAAAAATCAGTCTAATATGCATATGAAGCAAAGTACCCATTTTGTGTAGGTAATCGAAATCCCAGGTCTACAGACTGCCTCCTGCTGGCTTCTGAAGGCATAGCCAATAATGAATGAGAGACTGAATATACAGAAGTGAAGTTAAACAGTCATGAGTGGGACATGAAAGATTCCCTGGGTGAGCCCAGTACCACAGCACCATGTATTCGTTTATGGGAAGAAACAAAATCGAACAAAAAAGTTTCCTTGAATGCTCATGTTCTGCCCCTTCCTTCTCTTCAGCCAAGACAAGACAGCTGTGGAATTGAATTTTGAATAACCTTCATAATCAACCCAAGGATTGAACCCTGTTGCCCCCAAAAAAGCCGGTTTTATAGCTTTTACTGGCTTTTGATGACATAATGTCATTAGGCAGGGGCCAGTATGCCTGTATAACAGCTCTTGTGCTGGTTACCACTGCAAATTGTGTAGTAGTAGGAATGATTATATTTACCCCTAGAAGAATTGTGAGATATTTGGGGTGAAAATTGATTTTTTTTTTGGGGGGAGGGGGTTATGATGGGGGTTGGGGGGGGGGGGGGGGGGGGGGTCTTGTGACCTCATTATAAACTTGTGATGCCATCACTATGCTCTTCATGACTGTGTCAACAAAAACCCTGTTTTCTTGGTTAAAGGGAAGGAAAGCAGTTTTGTTCCCCTGTTTTTATTTAGTGTGACTTCCCTTCATGTAAAAAAAAAACATTTTGCATAGAATAATAAGACAGTATATAAAGAATCCATCTTTTTTAGTGACTCGGGGGCCATGATGACCCAAAAGCTTGCCTGTCTGCTTGGTGATCATAAAATTCAGCCCCTGGATTTCTATAAAAGCTGATCTAGACTCAAAATGTCACCTGCTTCTTCTTCGTTTCCTCTAGTTTCTTGAATGAATAATGTTTCAAAGAATTATATCAAGGCATTTGTTGTGAGAAAGGTTACTTTTTTCACGGGGCAAAGGGGTTCAGTATTATTGTTTTGATTGTGTTTTGTAGATCTGCATTAATGAAATGCTCAGTTCATGATGATGATGACTGTAGATGTATATTGATTCAATTTGTTGCCACTTGTGACTGTTTCTCTTCTGTTTTGGCTAAGATAACTTTGATAAGCTATGTTAATTTATATCTGTTTAGGGCAGAAGCCTGCTCACCACACCTGGCTGAGCTGAATCCTTACGTAAGCATCATGACTATGACCCAGCCTTTGACAACCAGCTGTGACTTGACCTACTTACGAAACTACCAGGTAACTTGCTTGCATACAGTCATGTTCTCAGTAAACTTTCTTTAAATTCACTCTTGGACCATGCCATTTATGAGGGCATATTTGTAACTCTTGGAAAGTGAGACTACTTGATAAAGAACCATTAATACTTTCTGTAATTATTTTTTGGAGGGGGGGGGGGGGGGGGTCATTGGCCAGCGGATTAGTGTTGGGATTTCATGTGGGGGACAGGCGTTCGATCCTTGTTAAGGGATAGAGATGTTTCTGTTGGGCTGAAAATAAACATTCTAACCTTCACACTTTGCGGTGCAGCCATAACCCTTTCAGCCGAAAAACTAATGATTACATTTGAGTCCATTTACTTAACCAGATTTTCTTGTAAGTCTCAGTGGTAGAGGTCATGGGGTCACGGCATGAGACATTTGATATGTACATCAGTGTTTTTTAGGCCCAGGTTGATGTATTTCATTTAGCGCTGCACCTGTTTTGTTTTTATTGATTACTCTTTACATTTATCTTTAAGAATAGAAACTTTAAAAAAAAAATTGTTTGTTATATACAAAGGTAAATGCATTTTAAATTAATTTATACTGTCAGCTGTACAGGCCCTTGAGTCCAAACCTACCGACAGCACACTACAAAGTATAACACAGGAACTTGCTATGTTGTCAAATAAGGCAGAAATTCACTTGCAGTGGATTCCGTCTCACTGTGGCATCAAAGGCAATGAAAGCGCAGATGCTTTAGCCAAGGAAGGCAGTAACAAACTACAGACCTACCAGCCACTATCTTTTCCAGAAGTCAAAACTCTCATTAAGAGAAAATCAGAAACAGACTGGAAAAACAACACTGGTTATGACTACGGAAAAGATTTTCTGAGGCACTTGAACAGAACAGACCAAGTCACAGTTTTTCGCTTACGCACTGGACACTGCAGACTCAATAAACACTCATATAAATTAGGTATGAGCCAAACAGCTCTCTGCCAGTGTCTTCGTGCTGAACAGACTCCAGAACATGTCCTGCAAGACTGTCCTCTCCTGGCGGAGCTGCGGAGCGACATATGGCAACACCCATTAGAACTGACAACTAAGCTTTGGGGAAACCTAAGAGACCTTGAAAAGACATCCCAGTTTATGACCCACAGTGGATTATGCGCATGACCAGAGATCGCTGAAGAAGAAGAAGAAATTAATTTATTGGTGACTTTTGTAGAAATTGTTTTTATGGATTTTTTCTGAAATTCTATTGGGTTATGGCCCTTTTTTTTTTTTTTTAGTGTTCCTAAGGCAAAAGGTTAATTCCTTATGGTCACGATCCCTTGTCCTACGTCACCCTAAAGTGGTAAATACAAGCAGGGAAGAGAGTTCATTAGGAACTATATTTCATTTTTGTTTTATTAGAAGTACTTATAAAGAAGCGTTTTATTTGTAATATTTGAATAACTTATAAACTAATAGTTGTAGTTATAGTAACATTATCTGAATTTCTGATTGTGTGTCTTGTAACATGGAACTCTTTTCATGGTTTCAGTGTGTGGTTCTAACGGAATGTCCCCTTAGAATACAGCTCCAGATTAACCAGTTCTGTCGGGCCTCATCTCCACAGATCAAAGTAAGTTTATTATAGTTATGTCTAATAATCCACAAGGATAACATTTCAGTGTGTTTGTGTTACTTATATTAAAATGATTCTTGTTTCTTTTCTGTTTTTGTGTGTGTAGCAGCACAATACTATTGATCAAATTGTTCAGTACCATTTTCTTAATAACACCTAATCAAAAGAAACAATTTAGCAGTAATGTTGTCATTTCACAGTGCAGTGTTTGTTACTTTCAGATCCAGCCGTTTTAGACCCAGCTGACTAGTTCCACTTTTCATTTCACATTTTATAACTTCACTGCAGTTCATTAAATTCACTTCTTTTGTGTGTCCAGCCCTTCAAGAACTGCTGCTATCTGTTTGTGCCTGTCTGAATGATCTGTGCTGTATTTTTGCGTATTACTTTTATGTTCTTATTCATATTTGTGTTATTGTATATTCATGTAATGTGCTGATGAAATGTCTCTAGCTGCAAACACTAGTCTTTTGTGATTGTGTGAAGCTAAATAGTTCTACTTTTTGTTTGGTTTGATATCGTTTCAGACACTTAATTAAGTTAGTTAGTTAGTCTTTCCTCTTGTGTCGAGTGCGGCACATAGGGCAGAGGTCATGACTCTCCATGCATGGCGGTTCGTTGCAATCTGTTGTAGGTCTTGGATGTTTGAGTGGCCCATGAGCGAGCCTTCCCTGATGATAGTTCTACGTAGGGTTTCCCTTGGTCTTTCACGAGATCTTTTCCCCTGTGGTGTCCAAATGAGGGCTTGGTAAGGAAGTCTTGATTTATTTTTCACTTAATTAAGACTGAAGTGTAATAATTATGGGGGCTTTTCCACTGCACACAGACACACACATGTAATCACATTAATGTATACTGGCATAAATATATTTATTTGTGTTTTCTTTGATACAGTTCATTTCAGCAGATGTGTTGGGCATATTTGGTATGACATTTGTTGACTTTGGGGACAGTTTTGAAGTGTTTGATGTCAATGGAGAGGAGCCTAAAGATATATTTGTCAGTGATATAACAAAGGTACGTTTTTGTGGTTAGTTTAGTTTGGTTGGCTGTGGAGCCCGCAATGCATAGTCATTTTGTGTACTCGTTTGCCAGGACTGACTGGCTTATGATAGACATTTTGAAAAATATTAGAGGATAATTTTACAGGAAAAGCTAGTAAGATGTGATTTTTAGAATTTGTGCAGTCAAACACTATAAAAGTTAATATTTTTGAGAAAGTAAAATTATGTTTATTAGACCTGTAGTTTAAAATGTAAAGAATGTATTTAACAGTTCCATGGTTTAGAAAATATTCAGTTGTCTTTGGTAATTTCTTAATTGTAATGGAAAGTGTATATTGTTCCATGCTGTCTTAATTTTTCTGGCTTTTTAAACAAACTTCTTTTTGCAGGGTAATCCCGGCATTGTGACATGCATGGAGAATAGAGTGCATGGCCTTGAGACGGGAGATGTCGTTACATTCCGAGAGGTCAAAGGCATGAAGGCTGTTAATGGTCGCCAGTTTCCTGTCAAAGGTGGGATAACTTGTTGATCATTCATTCTATAAAATCATGAAAAAAAAGGGATTATTATGGACCTGTAAATTAGGGTCTAATGGATCTGGTGCTCAGTGCTCATTGGATGAGTAACAGGACAAGGGTGAAATCAAAAAGAAACACCGAACATAGTTTGGCAAAGATAATTGGTATAATGATGAATATGCAGAATAACGTAACAGCTACTTATGTTGATTATCATCCTCTTAGATCCAGTGAAGGACCACCTGTCTTTTATTTATTAACCTGGTTGCCCCGGGAACTCTATGGCCTGAAAAAGTGATTCATACCTCCATGAAGTTTGCAGAAAAAAAATTCTTTACACAAATTTTTTAAATTTTACACAGGTCACTAATACACTTTTTAAAAATATATTTGAACTTGGTTAAAGGCAGGGTTTTAAAAAAAAGTATGCTGACTCTTATTCAACATTTACTCCTTATTTGACTCACTGAGTGGAAGATTTTCTTGTAATGTTATAAAACATATTATGAAATAACTTATGTTTTGTGTATTATGACAAATTCTAGAGTTTAAAAAAAATTCTTTTATTTGTATTATGAAAGATTCTGAAAATATACCCACCCACCCCCATTTTTCTTGTGTTGTTAAAATTCTTGAATGTTTTTAAAAAAAAACTTTTCAGTATATGATGAATTTGGATTTGGGTTTTTCTCTCTGGGATGCATTCTCAAATACTTTCTCCTTGTATGACAGGTGGTTTCACTAACTGGACTGTTTTTCAGCACACATATTGTTACAGCTTTCCATCTTTCCAGATGATAGTGTTATATGATACTGTAGGGAATTGTGGGAATCACTATCCATGAGGATGGTAAATGTGACTGGCAAGACCTGCTTCTGTTAATAAAAGTCTTCCACAATAGATCAGGGGATTTCAGGAAACTGTTGCCATGACATTAATGTGCTTCTTTACAAATGCTAAGCTGTTAATCTACTTGCAGTCGATTTCTCCACGCATGGATGTGTGCTGTAAATGCCACAGACTGTGTTGCATGGAGGGGGAAATAAGGAAGTGAGAATTTTGTTTTCAGGACATACAACAGAGGAAAATTATCCCCCACAGTGAAGGAGTGGCCCTGATGCTATAGAAAGAAGCACAGAGGGCACTTATAGAATGGGAAGCTGTGAGTCCTAGAACAATAAGAGCGTCATTTAGAACAGCAAAACAGAAGCTGAACATGTCGGTAATACAGTGTTGTGCACTAACTATATTTCCCTTCTTATTTCAACAGTCTGTAGCATTATAGCACACATCCGTTAGGAGTTTTTGATCTGTCATGCGGTGATTGTTTCTGTGTTTGTCTACAGTGGTTAATGCCTTCGCCTTCAGCATCGGAGACACATCATCTGCAGAGTTTGAACCATATATCGAAGGAGGCATATTCACCGAGGTCAAAGTTCCAAAAACAGTGTCTTTTGTAAGTTACAGCTGTGAATAGTATGTGATTTCAGAATATTTTTTTGAACTCTTTGTGGCAAATGTCAACAATTCTATCCCTGTCTGGGGCTTAGTCTTCCCTGGAGCTGGTGCACTGAACTGATGGTTTATTGTAATAAATGTTTGTTATGACTTTTTATATTTTCCATTCCTGCTGCTTCACTTTTCACACACATTTTACAAAGTTTATCAAAAGGCGTGAAAGGTTAAAATATTTCTAGAAACTAAAATTATGTGTCTTTGTAGAATATTGGAAATATTATATATTGTTTGAGGTGAAAAAATACTGTTGGATTCACTTCATTTCCCATTGCTGAGCTGAAGGTTACACTGTTTCCAAAGTTGTTGAGGTGGCTTTTAGGGATTTGAGGTTGGAATTTAGAACAATGCTGAAGGTTCAGGAGACAGCCCAGAGGGAGGTAATTGTGGAAATCTAGGGTCACATTAATCTTCCAGATAAATCGTGAACCAAAAGACACTTTAGTTTTTGCACTTTGTAATTAAAAAAAATATATTATGATGCCTGACTAACAGAACGGCAGTACAAAGTAAAAATCAAAATGAGAATAACAATAAAAATAATTCATCAAACAAAACACGACTCAGATTACTGGTCTAAAAGACCACCCTTCATCCATTGCACATATACCTTTTGAACTCTGCCCATGCTGTCAGTGAGAACAAAAAGTCCTGACAGTTCTTGATGCCGCCACTGTTAATCGCTTTAATCCAGATTTGTGTAAACATAAAGACATGGTCATGAACCTGGGCTTGCCCTGGTAAAAAAGGCAGTTACTTTAGAGAGTGGGTGATTTTGCATTTTACTTGTGAATTTATTTATTTGCTTCATTTTATATAATTTTTACTGTATAGTCATGTGATGAGATACAGTGAAATATGGCTGGCAGTAAATTTTGCAATCTTTTGTTTGTGTCTTATTTTTAAAATAAATGCAGAATGTTTTCACTAACATTTGTGTCCATTATCAATTTTGTAAGCTGAAATACTTTATTCTTTTTTTTTTTTTTTTTAGAAGACAGGATGCACTGGAAAAAAGTTAAATATTTAAAGATAACAAGTGTGTTTGTATTGAAAGGTTCTTTACATCAGTACATTTTAATTAATTTCAGAGTTCGCTGGAGCAGCAGCAGTTGGAGCCCTCTTTACTGACACCCGATTTATGCAAATTTGATGTAAGTCTTTGACATTTTCTGTGGTTTGTTGTAGCATTTGTAAAGCACAACTTTTTTTTTTTACAAGAAGATTCAGAGGCATAAATGATTATTTTTAGCCCCATATCACTTGGGACATTCCCTTATGCGCTGCATCCTCAATTTCAGCAGCAAATGCAGTTCCAATTTTAATGGTACCTGTGGTCATCTGTATGTCTCACCTTTTCCCTGACTGGTGATGTCAGACACATTCCCTGGCCACTCCTCTCTGCAGTACGTTTTTCTCCAGACCATGATGATGTTTTTTGTTACTGCACTGTTCACTCACACCTAAAGCTTGTCCTGTAACAATTTACCACCAAATGGTGTAGAATGAGCCAGTCTGTCTACCTGTTCATTTCCAAGCACACATGCCTGGACTGGAGAAAAATCGGACACTAACTACCTGAGACGTCTGAAGCGAAACTTGCCATTCTGCACGAAGCATACGTATCTCCACATTTGTCAGCATGCTCTGTGAGTCAGTTACAATCACACCATATGCGTGTTGCACCAGAGTCTTTTGAGGGGTCAAAAAACAAAATTTAGTCAACCTAAGCTGGAAACATAAACTCTCTCTCTCTCTCTCTCTCTCTCTCTCTCTCTCTCTCTCTCTCTCTCTCTCTCTCTCTCTCTCTCTCTCTCTCTCTCTCTCTCTCTCTCTCTCTCTCTCTCTCTCTCTCTCTCTCTCTCTCTCACAGTCTCTCTCTTTCTCACTGTTGCTCACTTTCTGTTTTCTCTCTCTCACGAGGAATATATCTCCTTAACTGATAATTGAACTATAGACACTCATGCTAGGTGAACTTATTTTATTATTCACTAAATAAGATATTACTGTCTTCTTTTTCTGCCCTTTATCTCACGTTAGAGATGTAAGTGTTTTCCTCTACATGTAACTGCCCCCAACCCCCCCAATTGCTTCATATACCATATTATACCATATTTGTCGAGTGTACAAGACGCTCTCTTGTGTAAGATACACGTCAAACATTTTTTTAAAAATTCCCACCCAAAAAAAAACTCAGATTTTATTCTTGCACCCATTTCCATAAGTAAGTCACTAATTATGCCATTTTACACTTTTATTCACATTGTGTGCACTTTCCTTCGTTCATTTTATACAAAATATCCTGCGGAGATCACCAAAGCCTAATGGTTTTTTAATCATTTTAGGCCCAAAATCATGTTCTGCTGACCCATAGCCATGTTATTCAGCATATTTTATCATCTGGAGTTTGAAATATGCATGTAAGAATGTTCTTGCTATTTTTTCCATATCCTGGGCAACTATGAAAGATAACATACATGTAGTCTATCTTTGTTGTTAAAGAAGCAGCATAATTTTAAAGCCTGTTTTTAGAACCAAAAAAGCTGTGTCTTATACTCCAACATATATATACAGTAACTTTCTTCTTCTACTTATAACTTTATGTCCAGATGGAGAAATAACTTTCTTAATCTTTATCATATAATGTTATTCTTCTTCTGTTCTTTATTCCCATTGGAGATATAAATTTATTCATTTTCTGCTTATAGTTTTCAACTTCTTCTTAACAGAACCTAGTGCCGAACAACTAATATAAAGTTGTAATATGTTGACATTTGTGGCTGATACCACATGAGTATCCAAACCCAACACCACCTTCTTTAATCAAAGATAAGACCATGGTAATCCATAATCTTTTTTTATTCTATTAACCTTTTATATTTGAGCTTTTGAGAACTTGATGTTTTTATCTTCCTAGGCACCACCAGTGTTGCATGTTGCATACTTATCCTTGCAGTCATATTGGGAACAATATGGCAGCTTCCCCAAAGCCTGGTGAGTCATTGGGAATTGTCTGTCATGTAAATATGTTATTTCCCTCTGTGGGTTCCAGGGTCTCAATTTTGGGGGAAAATAGACAGACAGTCCCCTAACAAGCTCCTGTAAAAAGCAAATTTTGCGGTTTGCTGTAATTGTGTTTGTGTTGGGCTGAAAGGCTCATATTTTACTGCCTAAATGTAAACTGTAACACACTGTGCAAACTGGCCTTTTAAAGACGAATGTTGAAGAAGAAACATGTGTTACACTTAAGTACTTCACATGGTAAATATTTTGTAATAGTGGTAGAATGGCATTGATTTGAGTTGTTTATGCTTATAGAATAATTGAAGGCATACACTTCATAATCACAGCAGCAGTATCAGGTGTAGAACTGTCTGTCTGTTTTTACAGATGGTCTCTGAGTCTGGTAATCTTAGTTTCAGCTTCATAGCAAACGGGTCGCTCCATAGTTGCACCGCTCCTGTGCCAACAAAAAACACAAAATGTCTCTGAGTCTCTTTACTGCCAGTATTTACATGTTAAGGCAGTGTAGGAGAAGGGTCTCTTGACTCTGAGATATAGGGCAGCATGACTAGTACAGTCACCATGGACTGTACAGATTCTGTACTTTTTGTTTGCCCCTAACAACAACAAAAATCTGTCACCTTTTCAGGGAGAAATTCAAATCTGGGTCTACCATACGTTCATTGCAGTATTTTCTTTGGAAATACTGTTAGCTTTTTTTTTCTTTTCTAAATTTAGGCTTGCAGACAAACTTTAGAATCAAACTAGAAGAGAACAAACATTTGTGCTTTATTCTCCCAGTCTTTTCATTAAAAACAAATTTGTGACAGACTGACTTTTCATTACACTTCTCCTTTTCTGTTAAATAGGGATGATGTGGATGCAAACAAATTACTGTCCATCGCTAAAGGAGTCAACAATTCTCTGAAGAACAAGGTAATTTAATGTTCTGTTATTATTAAATGTTTAGCTTTGAGAAAGAAAAAATTAAACATGGCATTTTTCTTTTTCTTCTTTCCTTTATCACTAAGGGCAGCTCATGCCGTATCATCTTTTGTCATCAGGTACATCTCACCCCATTTCCTTCATATCTTTTTTTGTCCCAGTCCAGGGTTTCTCCATCTTTTGCTTTTCCATCTCACGCTATGATCTCCCCATATTTCTTTTTCCATCTCACCCCGTGTTCTCATATTCTTATTTATCTCACCCTATAGTCTATCTATCCTTTTTAAATCTCACCCCGTTGTCTCCCCATCTTGTTAATCTCATCCGTGCCCTCGCTACACATCTTTTTCATCTCATCCCATGTCCTCCCCAGCTTTTTCATCTCACCCTATGGTTTCTTCTTTCTTTCATCTCATCCTGTGTTCTCCCCATTTTTTTTTTTTTAATTTTAATTTCTAATTGCACCCTATGGTCTCCTCAACTTTTTTTTTTCTGCATCTTACACTGTGTCCTCCCCATCTTTTTTTTTTATTTCACCTAATGGTCTCCATCTTTTTGAATCTCACCCCATGGTATCCCCATCTTTTTTCACCACACCCTGCGTCCTGTCTATTTTTTTTTTTTTAATCTTACCCCATGATCTTTCCATCTTTTTTTTTCCATCTCGTCTCTAGTCTCCCATCTTATAGTTTTCCACAGTTATAGCGTGGGATTTTAAAACTGTTGTTGTCAGCATTTATGTTCAGTCTGTTTCTTCTCAGATGCTCAGTTCTCATCCTTTCTGCAGTCTTTTCTTTCTTCATTCTCACTCCTTCCTGATGTGCCCCCTCCACACAACATGGTCCATGGGCGTTGCAGTATTAGATGTAAAGTAACAGTTCTTTACACAACATGGTCCATGGGGGTTGCAGCATTAGATGTAAAGTAACAGTTCTTTACACAACTTTGGTACAGCAGACGTATGAGACTAGACTCATATTTTTATATACCCCATTACACAACATTGGTACAGCAGACATATAAGGCTAGACTCATATTTTTATATACCCATTACACAACATTGGTACAGCAGACATATAAGGCTAGACTCATATTTTTATATACCCTTTACACAACATTGGTACAGCAGACATATAAGGCTAGACTCATATTTTTATATACCCATTACACAACATTGGTACAGCAGACATATAAGGCTAGACTCATATTTTTATACCAATTGGCTCTTGATGGGTGATGTGGTCAGCATTCAGCCGGCTACCATTACTTCCCAGGACTTTAACTGGCATCCATTTAAGGCTGCATTTACCTGGGAGATTATGTTAAAAAAATCGCAATGATCTGCTCTAATATAATTATTACTTTAAAATCTGCCTAGTCGGTTGTAATAATAATCTGCTCGTCATAATTATGGCACTAACTTCTGATTCAGTCAGTTTTTACAGAAATCTGCTCAATTATAATTGTTCCTTCACATTTTCACCCAGGAAGTTGTTACATTATTGTGCTGCATTAATCTTACATTGCCTCTTTCAGGTAGATGATTTGAATGAGAATTTTCTGCAAACACTGTCAAGGTGCTGCACTGGTTGTTTGGCCCCTTTGTGTGCGGTGTTTGGTGGTATTGTAGCTCAGGAAGCTTTGAAAGCCCTCACTGGAAAGTTCACACCCCTGAACCAGTGGGTGAGTATAATTGACATGTGTTCCTTCTCTTTGTTTACACACAAGTGTCACATGAAGTACATAATACAAAAACAGCAGTCAGCTTTGATTGTTAGAATTTGCTTAAGAGTTTGTCCTCAGATGAAGTTGGCATAGACAGAATAAGGTTCTCTGTTTCTACATTTATTAGAGAGACATTTGCTTACAATTTGTGTCTAGATGCCTGTTTTCTTCTGATCCTTTTAAAAGGAAACCTTATATCAGGAGGCTAGTAGCCATACTGCTTTGTTTTTGTTGAGGTTGGAACAGGCCAGATGACCTGTCTGTTAGCAGCATATAGATTATAGTGTCGGAATACATGCCTATAAAATAGGAAGTACCTGGACAGTTGATGAACAATCCAGCAAATTCCTCAGAACTACGAAATTTGATTTCTTTTTTTTTTTTAATGCTCACCTTTCTTAGCACAGCCAGAATGAGTAATCCCATTCGTTCCATGAATGCTTTAAAAGAAGGGGGGGGGGGGGGGGTTATAAACCCCTGAGAATTCCTGGGGGAAATCCGTGAAAACATTTTAGAGACGGTGTTATCGAACGTGACTAGATTTAGTCTTCTCAGGGCAACAGAACCAACATACAAGAACAATTTGCCATAAACATCAGAAAAGAATAGTTATAATTTTGTTGCACATCACTCACCAAAATGGTAGACTCGGGAGTTAAGAAGACTCACACCAAGCACATCAGAGGACTTGTTAATCAACATAGAACTGGCACTATAAAACAGCGGACCCTGGTGTTCATTCTGAGGGGAGGATCTGTTAAAAGCTGCTGAGTGCAGCTGTAGTTATAATTGTGGTTAGGTTTTCTTTGTACCATATTAACTCTTTGAGTCCCACGGAACTCATCACACGCTAATTGGTTACAACCTAGCTGCCCAGTCGCAGCGTGAGGAGTAAAGGTTTTTCATTTACCACTGACCAGTAATAAAATGCGGAAAGCTCCATTCCAACTTCCTTTCCAGTTCTCTGTGTTTGATATCAGGTGTGCTGACCAGCTGACTCATTTGGAAACGTGATTGAAAGCCTGCCTGAAATATAGTTTACTTTTTTATTGTTTACTGAGTTACTAAGTGTTTGTTTGAAAACAATAAGGCCATCTAACTGTATTCTACATGCATTCCAACATGATTTACGGTTTTAGAACCTCAAATTTAAATAAAGCGTGTGAGCATGTGTTTATTAGATTTATCCAAAGTTAGATAGATAAGGTTGCAAAGTAGACTTGTTTCATTCATTTATAGAGTCAAACTGTGAGGAAGGATAGCTCTTATGTGTACCTCACGCGAAGGGTACAACGATAGCAAAGTCAGCTGGCACAGATAGAATATTCATTAGTGAAAAGGCTATTTTCTTCAGTGTCAGTTAGTTCTAGTGATATTTCCCTTATTATTTAGGAACATGACTACAAAATTATGGGCAAATTTAGTATTATGTAAACTTTGTTTTGTGTGAAGATACTTATTGCTTTGGGAAGTCAGTTCTCTTTATCAAATACTGGTGCTCTGTTATGATGCTTCAAAAGATTCTCTGGAACAAGATCTAATGTACAGACTGAGTTTATATTTTACTTATACATTACTGAGTGGTTCAAGTTTATTTGTGATTCATGATGCGCCGTGGTGGTAGTTGGAAAATTTATTATTTTATTTTACTAATGTCTGTAAACTTGCTGTCTGTTTATTTACTAATATTTAACTGCTGACACAGTTGTTTGTTGTACTAGTATTCAGTTATTATTCCTCAACAATCCCTGGTCACTTTGTTGTATGTGTATGTTGAATTTGTCTAGTATATTTAAATGTATTACGCTTGTGCAATTAACAAAGAATGTAATCAGTAAACAGAGCAGGTGGAAGCATTCAGTGGGAGACCTATCCCGGGCCTAAAACAAAAACAACATATGTATCAGGTGACTCTTGCTGCGACCCTGTGACTTCTATCACCACTGGGGAAAATATGACGTCAGCTTGGCTTTAAAAAACTATTTCACTCAAAGGAACCCATTCATATTTTGACATCCTAAACATTTGCACAGCAGAAAGCAGCAGGTAGGCGTCTTGTGAAAAGTCACTGCAGGCAAATCAGAAAAATTACATTTGCTGGGAATAGGACTAATTCGAAAGTCTTCGTTTGGGAGCTTTTTGGGACGAAAGAGTTAAATGGTTTAGTTTCCCTGGTTGTGTTTTCTGTTGTCTTTTCTGATTGCCTTGTTCTTACCTCTTGTTTCTTTATTTATTTACTTGTTTAAATTCAGAATGCAGTGAATTGGTCATGTTGACTTATCATTACCAGATATTGTTTTGCATTCTCAGCTGTATCTTGATGCCAGTGAAGTTGTACCACGAGAGGACATTGTCAATTTAGAACAGTTCACACCTCGGTAATGTAACAGTTCTTCTTTAATTGTTTGTGTTAAATTAAATTTCACATTGAATATAGCCTTGGAAAGTCATGTTGTTGGAAATTATAGGAAGCATTACAGATTGCACTAGAAATAATCAAAGAAGAGAGGTCTGCCCAGGTGTGGTATAACTACTTTTACATGATCGATATCTGTATATCAGAGTGGTGGCATATTTGTCTGCTCCTGTAGGTCAATGGTTCAAGTCCTCATCAAGCACATTACATTGACCTTGATTCAGCATATTAATATGATGCTGTCAGATGTGTCAGTAAGTTATAACAGCATACTTCATCTGAATTCGCCCTTGGAAGGGTTATTGGCTTATTGTATTGTGATTTACAGCTAGGCTGCAGTATCGCAGTATATTTTTTTATTAGATTTCCAGGCTATTCTGTTAATAATCTTGTTATTTATTTACTGAATTTAATTTCAGTGGTGATAGGTATGACCCACTGCGGATCTGTATTGGGGAAAAAAGATGTCGGACACTAGCAGACACAAGATTGTTCATGGTGAGCACTTTTTACCATTGTGTTCTTTGTGTATACATCTTGTCTACTGGCAAAATATTGACTTTGTTAAAATAAATTAAACAATTTTCTGTTTTGAAAAGTACATGATAATGACCTTGTATACTGTTGTAGTACCTTGTGTACCCTATACTGTTTTATAGGAACGTTTCTAATTTCTGTAAGGTACAACATAGTGAATTTCTGAATTTTGTTTGTTTCCTGTCCAGGTGGGATGCGGAGCTATAGGCTGTGAAATGCTGAAAAACTATGCCTTGTTGGGTATTAGCACAGGCTCAGGGAAGGTCAGTTTTCTTGTTATTACTGTTATTATTAATTAGATCATCATTACACTTAGTTATTTAGTCTTCTCAGCAGATATAATTGATGTACAGAAATTGTCTTGCAGCCTATGGATTGAATTTAGAAAGTTTGTACTAGCACCTCTCTTAGCACTTTTCATCATAACCCTGCGTGATACCAGGAACATATCATTCTTGGCCACAGGCTGGAGCATATTAGACCGAAGAGACACATTTACAGGTTTCTCTTTTGCTGCACCACTGGTAATATATGAACATGTTTTTTTTGAATTGTTGACTGTACAATAAAGTGAAACAGAATTCATAATGTGTTTAAGTCAACACTAATTACTGGCATCATGAGGGCTAAAAGACTAGTGGTTGTGGCATGTAGAGAGAATGGTAGGTGACAGAGATACAAAACTATGTACAGAAAAGAGGTAAATCAGAGACTGTGATGCAGATCATGAAAACAGTGGAGAGATAATGTAAGGAAGACTTACAACACTCAGAGTCACCAACTGGAAATGGAAGGCTTATTTACAGAGACAAATGGAGGCGGGTGATGTCTGCAGCATTGAACTTGAAAGATTTGGAATCCAGTAGTTTTCATTTTCAGAATACATTTACTTTTCTTATCTTTGATAGTTCTCCAACTTTCACTGGCATATGCTAGAATTAAAATAATGTTAGAATTGAAGATTCATAGTTTGGTCTTAAAGTTGTATAACTTGGAGCTCCATATTTGATTAAGGCTTTTAAACACTTGTTGCGTTCTCAATGCATATCATAGTTTCCCTTGTTGTATCTCCAAGAGAGTCAAAATTGCTACCTAAATAGATGAAATGGTTCATTACTTTTATTGGTTTGTTTTCTAGCAGGTCATCTAAATCATCCGTTGTTGCTATCTTTAAAATAATTGTTTTCTCATGACTTATTTGTAGTCCTGTATTTGATTCTGTAGATGACAAATCATCTGTTTTTCTTTGCATGTCTTTATTATTGTTGCTTAACAGAAGAATATTATCTGTGAAGTCCATATCTTCCAGTCAGCGCCAGTATTGCTTTTGCAACATTTTTTCCATCACTCAGTCAGTAGCTACTCTGAAACACACACCTATTTAACTATTTAAACAATTTTTTTTTTTAGCTTGTATATATTTATGTTCAGTTTTATTAAACACCTTGCTTATTTCATTTCAAAACATATCACTTCAAACCCATAATTGTTATCTTTATTTTACCTATGTAGTAGTCCACTGATAGAGACTGACCATTTGAGTACATACTGATTGATTAAAAGAGGGGTCCAGCACTGTATGCCAGAGACGGGAAAAGGGTACGTTGTTTACTTCGCTTGAAAGGTATTCAGCATCAGAAAGGATGTGTACTTTCATAACTGAGACATTTCAGAAATGAGCCCTAGAATGCTTTCTGTTTCATAAGTCAAATGTTTTCAAAAATCCCTGGGTCTCATCACTTGAGCTATAGATTGTGTGCTTTGTGTGATGTCCTAGACAGGGACCCAGCCAGCTGCTCTGTAAAATTTGTTGAGCCAGTATCAGCACTAGTGAAGTTGATCTGCTCATTTTTAATTTCCTGTCATTTATCTGTTTGATCTTTCATTCTCTTTATTGGTGCCAGGACCCTTTCGGTAAGGGGGTGGGTAGAACCGTCCTGCTGCCTTCTATTAAGCATGTCATAAAAAGCGGCTAATTAGGAATATGCTGAGATCAGATATATTGGACTGAAAAAGCACAGATATTGCAGCCTAGCTGTAAACAACAACACATACCAGCAGCACTTTTACTGATAAACCCACAAGAAAATCTTTCATGTTTGTCTGATTCATAATCTTTGTTTTGCAGATCACAATCACAGACAATGACCTTATAGAAAAGTCAAATCTAAACAGGCAATTCCTGTTCAGACCTAATCATATACAGGTAAATATCTGGCCTGTAGTATGGTGACTCAAAGAGCAGTGATTCTGTCCATTTATATATAGCTATCTCTTGACAGACTCATTCTGTCACATTTAAGATCAGGGTAGAAAGAGCAAATTTATTATTCTGCATGTTTAGTAAAAGTACTTCACTGTCTTTACCTCCTATATTTAACACTTTTAGGATGGTTTAGGGTGAGGGGGTCTAGAGCCACAAACTATGGAGGTTAGGATTTTTGTGTGTGCCTCAGACAGAAAAATTCCATCTGAGGATCTGAAGCTGGGTCTCTCCAGTGAGTGCCCAGCTTTCTCAACTACTCAGATAGTTATTCAGTAATATTAAAATGTTTGAAGTGTGTGTTGGTGCTGTGATCTTTAAGTGATCTAGCAATATGTAAGTGGGATATAGTTACTTTTATAGAGTGAAAGGTATGGTATTGTGCCGATTAAGTGACAGTTTTATGTGTAGGTAATACTGTCATGCTTAAGTAATATGTAGAAAGTAGTTTTGCAATGTTTAAGTGGTATTGAAGTGTGCAGGTGGTAATGTAATTTTGAGTAGTACTGTAAGGTTTAAGTGGTGTTGTAGTGTGTAGGTGGTACTGTAATGTTTTAAGTAGTGTGTAACTGGTTTTATGGTGCTAAAGTATTACATAAAGTAATAATAAAATGTCTAAACAGTGTTTTGATGTGTAACTGTTTTTATAAAGTTTATGTGATTGCAATATTTAACTAGTGTTCAATCATATTAACACATATTAAATTATAAAGTTTGTTTTCTAACATTTTTTGAAATAATTGTCTGATGAAAAGACACTGGAGAAATGTTTTTAAATGTATTTCAACAGAAACCAAAGTCAGAAACTGCAGCACAAGCAGCATTAGAAATAAATCCAGGTGAGCACATGGTTTAGTGTTTCTCTAGAGCACATGGTTTAGTGTTTCTCTAGAGCACATGGTTTAGTGTTTCTCTAGAGCGCATGGTTTAGTTTTTCTGGAGAGCACATGGTTTAGTGTTTCTCTAGAGCACATGGTTTAGTGTTTCTCTAGAGCACATGATTTAGTTTTTCTCTAGAGCACATGGTTTAGTGTTTCTCTAGAGCGCATGGTTTAGTTTTTCTCTAGAGCACATGATTTAGTGTTTCTCTAGAGCACATGGTTTAGTTTTTCTCTAGAGCACATGGTTTAGTGTTTCTCTAGAGCACATGTTTTAGTGTTTCTCTAGAGCGCATGGTTTAGTTTTTCTCTAGAGCACATGATTTAGTTTTTCTCTAGAGCACATGGTTTAGTGTTTCTCTAGAGCACATGATTTAGTTTTTCTCTAGAGCACATGATTTAGTTTTTCTCTAGAGCACATGGTTTAGTGTTTCTCTAGAGCACATGGTTTAGTTTTTCTCTAGAGCACATGGTTTAGTGTTTCTCTAGAGCACATGGTTTAGTTTTTCTCTAGAGCACATGGTTTAGTTTTTCTCTAGAGCACATGGTTTAGTTTTTCTCTAGAGCACATGGTTTAGTTTTTCTGGAGAGCACATGGTTTAGTTTTTCTGGAGAGCACATATAGTTTTTCTAGAAAGCACATAGTTTAGTTTTGCTGGAGAGCACATGGTTTAGTTTTTCTGGAGAGCACATAGTTTAGTTTTATTCTAGAGCACATGGTTTAGTTTTTCTCTAGAGCACATGGTTTAGTTTTTCTGGAGAGCACATAATTTAAATTTTCTGAAGTGAACATGGTTTACTTTTTCTGGAGAGTACATGGATTAGTTTTTCTGGAGAGTACATGGATTAGTTTTTCTGGAGAGTACATGGATTAGTTTTTCTGGAGAGTACATGGATTAGTTTTTCTGGAGAGTACATGGATTAGTTTTTCTGGAGAGTACATGGATTAGTTTTTCTGGTGAGTACATGGATTAGTTTTTCTGGAGAGTACATGGATTAGTTTTTCTGGAGAGTACATAGTTTAGTTTTTCTGATGAGGTTAGTTAGCAAATATAAGGTAACAGTTGTTTGTATTTACATTTACAACATTTACTTGTGTATTCACCAGTCGTGAACTCCAGTGGAAAGTCCTAGTTGGTTGTCTGTGTGTGGACTTTAATCTAGCCTCATGACTTGATTGTTGTATGCACATCAGTTTTCTAGATGTGGATTATCATGTGCAGACTGTTGATTCCTTGCCTCTCAGGCATCTTTGCACCAACTTCAAAGGAAACACCGATCATATCTGTGTTGGCCAGGCCCCTGGTAGGGAAGCTGTTTCTGGGATGACCGCCTAAAGGTGTAGATATGATCTGACCACATAAGGCCTGGACCTTATGCATCATCCATCATAGAGGATGTTGCATTTCTACATCCAACAATATTCAGTGTCTACCCATCAGATCTACCAAAAACACAGGCACATTCTACTTGGTTATATTTTGGCTGGCTCTGCCCTAGTTGCAGGTGACTAGCCTATGGATTGCACTGACCTATCAAAAACCAGTGTGTTTATAATATAGAGATTGGCACCTTATACCTCTTCTTCTTGGTGTTAAGTGGCTTGTTTGTATGCATACTCTTGGTGCTTCACCTCTCAGGCAGATGCACTTCAAAGGAATCACTCCTAATTAGTTGCCTTTTAAGACATGCTTGTTAGCAGGTTTTTTAACCCCAAAATGGGGCTCCGGAACCCACATGAGTAGTACCATTTATCAAACATGCCTCACAGTTTCTATGCTCTTTATTTATATCAGTTTGTATGCTTCAAATTATATTTCATTGTATCCGCATTACACGATACAATTCATTCACCAGAAGAGGAGAAGGATATAGAGCAAGAGTTGACCAAGGACGGGATGGAAAGATAACATTAGAGAAGCTCTACAACAGCACAATGTCTCCATGGTTAAGGTGGCCAGAAGAGCAAGAAACAGAACCTTTATATCTCCCTAGACACCTGAAGCAGTGAAAGAGGAAGTGCCTGGCTTATGTAGTAACTGACTAACATTTCTTCTTTATCATAATCGGTGCTTTATTAATATCCTTCCCCAAAGAGGGGAAATCCACAGGTCAAGGGACAGTCTAATATTTCAGAGGGTGGTAGATAGGCTGCATGCAGTCGTGGGACCTAGGTTGCATGCAGTCGTGGGACCTAGGCTGCACTCTCTCATGGGACGTAGGTGGGTTGGGGTTAGGGTCAGTTCTAGATGTTTTGGGGTCGTTAAAAGCATTAAAAAGCCAGGAAACCCAGTCTTACCACCCTTTAAAATATTGGACTGTCCTGTGAACTCATCTGGTGTAGATTTTAATAAAGCACCTCATAATCTTCTCCAAAGCTACATCTTCTCATCCTCCTCCAGTACTACATCTTCTCCTCCTTTCCTCAGGCTCTTCCATCTATTTGCTAATGTGCTTGTTTTGTTTGTAATTTTCAGAAATGAAGATAGAAGCTCATCAACATAAAGGTAAGCGTTTGCACCTAGCTCTGAATTCATCTGACACAGTGACATAGCTTTCTCTCAACTTGAATGGATGTTTTTGAGACATTGATTTAACTGTCTCACCTTTCAGACAATGTTGTTTCACCTGTAGAGAGTATGATTTAAATTTCTCTCACTTGTAAATTATTGTGTCTGTGAGACAGTAATTTTATTTCACCTGTAGAGGATATAGTAAAATCTTTATCACACCTATAAGTGGTGTCTCTGAGACAATGCTGTTTCCTTTGTAAAGGTGTGATGTAACTTTAACTTGTAACTGCTGTCTTTAGGACAGTGATGTAACCTCTCACCTCTAGTAGGAGCTGTGAAGGTGCAGTGGGTAGCATGCCTGCCTTCTGGCCCAGTGATGATAGTTCTCTTTTTTTTTTTCTCTTTTGGTGTTCACCGGCTGTAAACCTCAACAGAAAGTTCTGGTTGTTCATCCAGTCCTGAACTTTGGTGTTGATCCAGAACTTGAGTTTTGCATGCACGTCCATTTACATATCTGGTTGATTTGTTAAGACGTGTGATATAATTTGTCTCACCTGTTAGGTGGCTCTGAGACAATAGTACAATGTGATAAATCCTTCTCTTTGAGGTAGAGACGAAGGCTGGCTGTCCGTCAGGGTAGAACATGGTGAGTTTCTAGGCTTAGGATGAGATAACTATGAAGTTATTGAACAGATCACCATCTTGCTGACAGTAGAGTGATAACTGCCACCACAATAAGGTTGTAGTGTGATGAGAAGAAGATTTTATTAGACACATGTATGGGTCTTTCTTGTATGTGTAATATCTTTCAGATTTAATCATTGATTTTGCTTATGTTTGATATATTTTTCCCCTTGCTGTATGAGAAGTAAGACATCTGGAAGAACCAAGTTACTTTGAACCATTACCAGACTGTGAGAACAGCAAGTTAAGAGGGGTGTGGCCCAACATGCACTGTGCAGGAAGCCAAAGAAGAATAAGAAACCAACACAGAACTGGTGTACTCAGCCGCTGAATGCTGGATTTACTTAGAAAGGGATCAGATCTTAGGGACTGAATATGAATAGTACTTCTTCTTCTTCGTGTTCACCAGCTGCAAAAACTGGCGGAAAGTTTTAGTTGTTCAATCCACTTTTTGACTGCAGTCCTGTTCTGGGGGGGGGGGGGGGGGGGGGGGGGGAATTTTGTGGTCAACATCACACTGGCTACCTTTACTTCCCAGGACTGTTTATTGTACCCATTTAAGGCTGGGTTGACCTCTGAGCCAAAGTCCCCAAAAAACATGTCCAGCTCTGCCAGGACCAGAGCCCACGACCTGAGCCCACGACCTTCTGATCCCCAGGTAAGCGTCTAGCCACTACACCACTGTGGCTGTGAATAGTTTGATGAGCATAAAGGATAATCTGTCAACTAATTATATTTTTTTTCCTCGACAGTTAATTATTTTCTTTGCTTTCTATATCATTTCTGACTGCTTTATGTATTTTTTCTCTTGTGAAATCAATGTGTTTGCTTGTCTTTATTTCTGTAATGCTTTTTTATATTTCTTTATGTCCACTAAGCACATATGTAACCTTTGACTTCACTAATGTGATATTTCTAATGTAAATGTCTGTTGCAGTGTGTTCGGAAACTGAAAATACTGTGTACACTGATGAGTTTTTTGAGAGTCAAGATATTATTGTCAATGCACTGGATAATCTGGAAGCCAGGCGATATGTGGATGGGTAAATGATAGTGTCACATGTCATTGATTCAAGTAATCTGATCCTCAGGATTAGTTAATACTGTCTTAATCTTGGTGTTGATTAGTTAATCAAAGCTTATTTAAACAATCTGAAAAGTGCATAAATGCCTTTGAATACAAATGTTATAGACAGGTTCTAAGAATATCATGGGTAAAGAAAAGAACAAATGCAACCATACTTCAAGAACTAAATATTGAAGAAGGTTGGCTATTAAAGACGATGAAACACAGACAATTGAAATATTTTGGTCACCTGAAACGTCACCAAAGTTTAGAGAGAACAATAATGGAGGGGTATATGCCTGGGACGAGAGGAAGGCTAAAGAGAGATGGTTGCAGGATGGGCGGATAATTTCCAGATGTGTGTATCAGGCGCGGGACATCTTGCTTGTGATCGTGAAGTTTTCCTGGAGGGTTGTTATGGGAGCAAGGGACAGGCTACTGACTGATTGCCTGATTATTTAAAGAAATAAAGAAATTAGATCCTAATTTTACAATGATTATATTTATGTCCCTAGCTCAGCCTAGTCCTAATTAGTGCCAGGTAAAGTCCTGGGAAGTAAAGATGGCCGGCGTGTTGTTGATTACATCGCTAAAGAGTACTGATTGGTCTGTAAAATTCCCCGTGTGGGTTCCGGGGCCCCATTGTGGGGAAAACAAGAATAGACCCACTGCCTACCCAAAAGCATGTCGTAAGAGTTGACTAATTGGGGAGCTTCCTTTGAAGTTGGAGTGCATCTGCCTGAAAGGCAAGGAACCAACAGTCTGCATTCAAGTGAATCAGATCTGTAAAACTGATGCACACACAACACAGGTTCTGGAGCAGGGCTGCAGTTCAGAACTGGACGAACAACCAGAACTTTCCGCCAGAGTGAACAGCCGGTGAACGCGAAGAAGAAGAAGAAGAAGAAGAAGGTCTGTAAAATATAGATCTAGCCCTATATGTCCAAAACACCTGAAAATGGTCCTTTAACGTTACTTTATATTAATGTTGGTGCAATCTTGTAGCTTGTATCTTTTTTTTTTTTTTTTCTAGATCCTCAATTTTTTTTTGTTTATTGCTGTATGGTGTTGTTTAGTTGTGTTCTTTATTCCTTGACAGTGTTGTTTACTTATGCCCTTTATACCTAAATGGCGAAGATGGTGTTGTTTATTCATGCTCTTTATTCATAGATGGCGAAGATGGTGTTATTTATTTATGCTCTTTATTCATATATGGCAAAGATGGTGTTATTTATTTATACTGTTTTTACTTAGGCATTATTGTTGACTTATGTTCAATATTCCTGGATAGTGTATTTTTGTTCTTTATTCCCAGATAATTTTGTTGACTTGTGGTTTTAATTCCTAGATGTGAAGATGATGTTATTTACATTCTTTATTTCTAAACAATTTTGATTACCTATGTTCTTTATTCCTCCTTGCTAATATTTACTTTTGGTCATTATTCTTTTCTCTAGTTGTATAATAATGTTCTTTGTTTCCTAGATGGTGTTGTTTTCTAGTGTTCTTTATTTCTAAATGGCATTACTGGTGTTCTTTATTCCTAGATGGTGTTTTTATGGGTGTTCTTTATTCCTAGAGGGTGTTGTTTATTGGTGTAGTTTTTTTTAAATTTATGGATGGTGTTGTTTACCTGTGTTCTTTATTCTTAGACAGTGTTGTTTATTGGTGTTTTTCAATTCTTAGACAGAGTTTTTTTATGGTGTTCTTTATTCCTAGACGGTGTGTAACAAACCAGAGGCCTCTGATGGAATCAGGAACTATGGGAACAAAAGGTCATGTACAGGTCATTGTCCCTCATGTGACCGAATCATACACTAGCCAGGTGAGTTTGTTTACTGGTGTTTCATAGCTCACTTGTATTTGCCAGTTTGATTTACTTCCTTTTTTTTAAAAACTGTAACTGGTTTTCATTTGAAATGTAAAAATAGACTACTTATATATGAGTTTCAAATACAGTTAGACTTTAGCATTGACACCAACTGGGGTATACTGAGTCAGTTGAGGAGGAAAGACAACACCATCTACTCCTCAAACATGTGTTTGAAAGGAAGTGGGAAGGGCTAAAAAGGGGGAAGTAACCCAGAATTGATTCTCCCCATTTTCATTAACCCTATTTCACTTTATAATTAAGAAATTTATATTGTTGCTGTTGGGAAGCAATAATTAATAGGTAAGAACAGTGGTCCAGACCAGCTCATCACAAATGCCCAAAAAAGATAAGTTTGATATTTACATATCAAACTTAAAACTGGTCTAGATACTGTTTCTGCTACTTACTATCCACCTGCTAAATTACCTGCTAATTCAACGCTATAGGATTACCTGCTAATTCAGCTGCTATAGCATTACCTGCTAATTCAGCTGCTATAGGATTACCTGCTAATTCAGCTGCTATAGCATTACCTGCTAATTCAGCTGCTATAGGATTACCTGCTAATTCAGCGGCTATAGGATTACCTGCTTATTCAGCTGCTATAGGATTACCTGCTAATTCAGCTGCTATAGGATTACCTGCTTATTCAGCTGCTATAGGATTACCTGCTAATTCAGCTGCTATAGGATTACCTGCTTATTCAGCTGCTATAGGATTACCTGCTAATTCAGCTGCTATAGGATTACCTGCTTATTCAGCTGCTATAGGATTACCTGCTAATTCAGCTGCTGTAGGATTACCTGCTAATTCAGCTGCTATAGGATTACCTGCTAATTCAGCTGCTGTAGGATTTTTTTGGGAAATGTATCCCTAACTACTGACCGGGATTTGTAGCCCCGCCCCAGCAAATAGGACAGATTCATACCAAAGTATTTTCTCAGAGAAAAGCAAGACTGGCTGACTGCTTCTCTGAACAGTATTCATCTTATCAAAGAAAACTTGCCATGAGGTGACAGGTCAGTTCAGTGTCCATCACTAACCTCGGGGTTGTCTTTCTTTTGGCCTATGCCTTCATAAGTCCCGTCTCATTACACATAAATTATGCTAAGTAGATGTGTGCTTTGATAACGTTAAACTTGTATCATTACAGTAAAACTTGTATCATTACAGTAAAATGTGTATAATTACAGCAAAACATGTATAATTACAGCAAAAAACGTGTATCATTACAATTAGTGTATTGATAACAAGTGTAGATTTTCACAAAACCTTTATTGTCTCTCCTTTAGCAAGACCCACGAGATGAAGATTATCCCTACTGTACTATCCGGTCATTTCCATCAACACTGGAACACTGCATTGAGTGGGCAAGAGACAAGGTAAGACATCATTTTAAAGAGGACAATTTATAAAACCATATGTTGATATATTTATTCCTTTCAGAAACATTTTTTTTTTAAATAATCTGCTAATCTGTCACAGTTTGCTGTTGTAGTACCTGTGCGAGGTGTCTGTAACTGACATTACGGCCAGAATATTCATGAGATATTAGCTCCAAGCATCATGGAAAGACAGATTCAAACTGGAGACCATACATTAACCCTTGCGCAGATATTTTAATTTTGCCATCCGTTAGGCCAGTCCTCACTTTGCCTATGTTACTGTGCTTATAGTGTGGAACTGTTTGTGGCTACACAATGTTTTGTTGGGCTGTATCTGTTTACACTCTTGAAATATTGCATTCAGAGGATTTGTATTGATAAAAAGAATGTCTTTTACAGTCAGTGGGACATTAGAGCACCTGCATAGACTGCACCCAGTTTCTGTCCCGATAGTTTTAGGATAACATCATTTTCTTAGATTTTCGTCAAGAGACCAACACCAAAACAATAGTACGTGTAATCAGTGAAATATGGACCACGCAAAGGCAAGTTACAGTTGTGAATGTGTGTTGCAAGCAGTGGACTATGTGCAAATGAATTGAAAGCCAGTTATGGCTGGGTAAGAGGCAACGACTTTCCGACAGCTACTAAAATAAACTTTTTTGTTTCAAAACGTTCTGAAGTTACAGAAGAATACAACTATAGCATGGGCAAACCTGGAAATGCACATGAAGCTTTCTGTTAGAATACTGCACCATGTTTTCTCTGTTCAACTACTGCAACATTTTTTTTTCTCTGTTCAGCTGCTGCAACATTTTTTTTTTTCTCTGTTCAGCTGCTGCAACATTTTTTTTTTCTCTGTTCAACTACTGCAACATTTTTTTTTTTGTTCAAATACTGCACCCTGTTTTTTCTGTTCAAATACTGCACCCTGTTTTTTTCTGTTCAAATACTGCAACCTGTTTTTCTGTTCAAATACTGCAACCTGTTTTTTCTGTTCAACTACTGCACCCTGTTTTTTCTGTTCAAATACTGCAACCTGTTTTTTCTGTTCAACTACTGCACTCTGTTTTTTGTTCTGTTAAAATACTGCAACCTGTTTTTTGTTCTGTTCAAATACTGCAACTTGTTTTTCTGTTCAACTACTGCACCCTGTTTTTTGTTCTGTTCAAATACAGCACCCTGTTTTTTGTTCTGTTCAAATACAGCACCCTGTTGTTTTCTCTGTTAAACTACTGCACCCTGTTTATTCTGTTCAAATATTGCACCCTTATTTTTCTGTTAAAATACTGCACCCTTATTTTTCTGTTAAAATACTACACCCTGCTTTTTATATTAAAATACTGGACCCTGTTTTTTTGTGTGGTTAAAATACAGCACCCTGTTTTTTCTGTTAAAATACTGCAACCTGTTTTTCTGTTCAAATACTGCAACCTGTTTTTTCTGTTCAACTACTGCACCCTGTTTTTTTCTGTTCAAATACTGCACCCTGTTTTTTCTGTTCAAATACTGCAACCTGTTTTTTCTGTTCAACTGCTGCACCCTGTTTTTCTGTTCAAATACTGCAATCTGTTTTTTCTGTTCAACTACTGCACCCTGTTTTTCTGTTCAAATACTGCACCCTGTTTTTCTGTTCAACTACTGCACCCTGTTTTTTGTTCTATTCAAATACAGCACCCTGTTTTTTGTTCTGTTCAAATACAGCACCCTGTTGTTTTCTCTGTTCAACTACTGCACCCTGTTTATTCTGTTCAAATATTGCACCCTTATTTTTCTGTTAAAATACTGCACCCTTATTTTTCTGTTAAAATACTGCACCCTGCTTTTTATATTAAAATACTGGACCCTGTTTTTTTTGGTTAAAATACCGCACCCTGTTTTTTCTGTTAAAATACTGCACCCTGGTTTTTCTGTTAAAATACTGCACCCTGGTTTTTCTATTGGAATACTGCACCCTTTTTTTCTGTTAAAATACTGCACCCTGTTTTTTCTGTTAAAATACTGCACCCTGTTTTTTTCTGTTAAAATACTGCACCCTGGTTTTTCTATTGGACTACTGCACCCTTTTTTTCTGTTAAAATACTGCACCCTGTTTTTTCTGTTAAAATACTGCACCCTGTTTTTTCTGTTAAAATACTGCACCCTGTTTTTTTCTGTTCAAATACTGCACCCTTCTTTTTTTGTCAAAATACTGCACTCTGTTTTTTTCTGTTAAAATACTGCATCCTTCTTTTTCTGTTAAAATATTGCACCCTTCTTTTTCTGTTAAAATATTGCACCCTTATTTTTCTGTTAAAATACTGTACCATACTTTTTCTGCTAAAATACTGCTCCCTACTTTTTCTGTTTAAATACTGCACCCTTTTTTTTTTCTGTTTAAATACTGCACCCTATACACATGTATAAGTAAATACATGAAGTAAAACTTTAGTTAACTATCACCATATGGACCACGGCTATGACGGATAACTGAAAAGAAAGAAAACAGAAATCTCCTCTATGTAGGTACAGTAAATTGATTGCACTATGGGCTTCAGATCAAAATGAAAATAAAACCCTTTAGAATTGAATAATGCATATTGTTTTAAATTTTACAAAACGATCTATGTAAAAACTTCAATATAAGAGTAGTAATGTACAGAAAATAGTCGTAATACTATAGACCTGTGTTACTTTAAAATAATGTGTCATCTCTTTCTGTGTCTTTGAGGCTGGAGCTTTCTGTGCTGTGATGTTCCGTATTTTACTCAGAAGTGGGACAGGTGTTGCATTTGCCTCCTCTTGCATTTGAAGCCAGTCGATGATTTTTTTAAAAACAATAATTCTGATTCTGAGTGGTTATAGGTTTTTGGTTAGGAACTGAGCCTCTCTCTTCTTCTTCTTCTTTTCTTTTAATGTTTTTTTTTTTCGTTATGTCGATGACAGATAACAAAAACTGACAATTATACGAAGGACAGTTATTCGAAGTTTTACTGTACTTATTTTTGATAAAGCTGTGTCACTTTGTATAAAATTTAGCTGTTCAGCTCGTAGATTTGGGAGGTATTCTTGTCAGGTGATCATACTGCTGTGTTGTGTCTTTCTCTGGCTACAGCAGGATGTTGGTCTTACTTTATCTCCTGTATCTTTCTGTTTCAGTTTGAGGAGTGTTTTGTGGAGAGTGCCCAGCTGTTCAACAAATTCTTTGACACTCATCCAGATCTGCAAGCTGTCGTACAGGTAGGTTATTTTTTTTTTAGAGTGACTGACTGTTGTGAATGACAGAATTTATTATTCTAAGGAAGTTCAATTAAAAATTTTCCTGTGTGGAATCCAGGGCCCATTCTGGTGGAGACAAGAATAGACCCACACCTCTCTAGCAAACATTTTTGTACAAGGCGACTAATCAGGGTTGTTTTATTCAAAATCAGAGTACATCTGCCTGAGAGGTGAGGAACCAGCAGTCTGCATATAGATAAGCCAGATCTGTAAAACAGATGTGCAAGTTCTGGAAGAAGACCATAGTCCAGAAGTGAACAAGCAACTTGAACTTTCTGCCGCAGTTCAAGTTGGTGAACGTTAAGAAGAAGAAGAATTTAAAATTGTTAATTGAAGCAGTTCACTGTTCTAGACTCCAATGGTCCTCTTCTTCTTCACGTTCACCAGCTGTAAACTTCAATGAGAAGTTCTGACTGTTCGTCCCCCCCTAGACTATAGTCTTGTTCCAGAACCTGAATGTTGCGTGCACATTCATTTTACAGATCTAGGTTATTTGCGGGCAGACTGTTGATTCCTTGCCTCTTAGGCAGATGCACTCTGGCTTTAAAGGAAGAAGACAATTAGTCGACTCTCACAACATTCTTGTAGTTGGTCTATTCTTGTTTTTGCCACAATGTGGCCCCGGAATCCACACTGGGAAATCCCTGTGGCCTAATGATAGCATTAACCATGTCTAAATAATTATAAAAATAGAGAAAACACCAACTGAAACAAATGCAGCACACAAAAGTTAACTGGAGAACACACACCTCGATATACATACAGAAAGAAAGAGAGAGAATGAAGTCAGGAAAAGATTTGCATAAATGGGCTTATGTGAGCCAGACTGGACATCACATCTCTTGAAGCCACCAACTGCCAGATCCCTGACCAGCTCGGTTCAGGTCACAGAGGTGAAGTGATCCATGACGCATGACGTGGATGTGTGGCAGGCATCTTGCGTGAGGATCTGTAAAACCATCCCAGAGCCGGCTGGCGACCAAGGTGAGGTACGGAGTAACTCCTCATACACATCACAACAACCTGAACTTTCTCTTACGCCTGTGATCGATATCATCATGCCACACATTGTAATCTATGTATGCGAAAATTGTTAGTTCAGCTCTTTGGCTTAAAAGAAATAGTGTAGACATCGAAGGCAGTTTATGGTAGTGAACTTAAGGATGACATTCCTTGAAAACAAACTGTGTTGACATCAAAAAGTATCAATTAAAAAAAATTGAATATTTTTTCATCATCTTTCATTGTTATCCACAAAGTGTGAATGCAAATTTCAGCTCAATGGCTTATCAGTACATGGGGTACAGATCTGCAGATTTTCACACAAAGACATGAACATACAAAAATGACCTTAATAAAAGCTTACATAAACTTCTGTCATCATGAGGTATAAATCTGAATTTGTGGAGTCATCTTTCACAATGTGATATAATTTTCGAACATGAAAACAAAATTCACAGAACATTTTGTAGTTAAAAGTAGCATTTAATTAGATTTTCTTTCCAGGAGCTGCTGTCTGGTACATCTATCAATGGTGCTGTCAAGGTCAGCAAGCTGCTGGCAAATCAGCCCAAGTCTTGGAGCGATTGTGTGGCCCTGGCACGAATTCGATTTGAGAAATACTTCAATCATAAGGCAAGGTTGAATACAGATCTAAATTGTTTTGAGTCTGTACATCCATTTGTCCTTTTCCTTAATATAATACATTTCTCCAAAACATTTTGTTGAAAAATTAAATCTTTATAATTATTTTTATTTTCACCTTGTAAGGTACATTACTCCAAAGAAATTGTTTTAAAGAAGTATCTTTTATACTTACTCTCATTGATTGGGATATTTCTCGTAAGGTAAAAGACTTTGGTTTCATACTAAACAGCTCATAACAGGATGAGCAATGAAAACAGCCAAAAACCTTTAATTTTGTCAGCCCATTCTGTGTCTGGTTGGCTTGTTTTGACTTCGCTGGAAGACTGCATTTTTTAAAAATCACTGAGTCAAATGACTGAATATAGTAAGGGTCTCTTTTCCACGCCTTTAGGCATATAGGGCTAGACCTATATTTTTATAGACCAATCGGCACAAGATGGGTGATGTTGTCAGCATCACGCCGGCCGCCTTTCCTTTCCAGGACTCAAAGGCTGGGTCGACCTGTGAGTCAAGATAATTTTTTTTTTAAAGTCTAGTTCCGCCAGGGAGCGAACCTACGACAAATGACTGAATATTAAAAAGTTTTACATCTACCAGAATAAAATATGTGTGGAAACTTTTTTTTCTGACCTGGTGCTAAAGTACCATTTCCATGAAGACAGCAATTTGTTGCCAATCAAACTATGCACCGGTCTCATCTTATTTCAGTTACTTTACAATTGTTTCAACAGTCATTATCAGTCATGTGTTAGAGAATAACTTCACAATACAAGTCTTTGAAAAGACTCATTTACAGGCAGGATGTTTATTCATCTTTTATAAGATACGTACTAAGTTAAATGTCAGCGTCTGTGGCTTAGGCATTGCGAACACACTTCCTTCCCACATAACTATGGTAAAGCCGAAAGTCAGCATGGGAGTAGGATGTTCAGTAGTTTAAGGATGAAGTTCAGAATTTTAAGCAATAAACATTTTGTTTTGCAGGCAAAAAATCTACTTCATGCATTTCCTGCAGACAAAAGACTAGAAGATGGAGGTACATTTTGCTATTTTAAAATATTAATTCACTCTGTTTCTTATTGGCTTTTATTATGTTAGAAGTAGTCCGTTTGATTTTAGCTTTATCCTTGGGTCTTGTTTGAATTGCTTCTAGTTCAGATATAAATTGTTCTGTATCCTGATGACCCTCCTGTTTCCAGTTACTTGATCTCAGGCGCAACAACCTAGTGCTAAATCTGTAATCTGAGCCCAATGTGTAGTGCATTTTTACTAGGGCTGTACCGAATATTCGCTTCGTATTCGCCGAATAGTGGACCTATTGACTATTCAGTATTCGGCCAAATAGTTGCGGTCGGGCCGAATACAAATAGTAGTAACCTTACACCCGCTTCTGCATACACTGCCTTAATACTGACAACATGGAACGATTGGTTTTGTTGAAAGCTAATGCAGCTTTCATGCATTAACTAAGCTGTCAGTGACAATTTCCAAGTTTAGTTACTTGTTATAATACTTAGAATACTTTTATTCCAAGTTATTAGTTACCACAGACTGACTAAGGTTGCAAAACATTAAATGTTTTTAAATGTTTACTATTCTGTACGAATACTAACTAGACATGGACAGAATATAAACTCCGGCCACATCCAAGTCGATAATATGAAAAACAAACGAACGGAAACATATAAGTACTTGGGTGCAAACTTCAACTGCTCCAACATGCTGAGAGAAGAAATACGATCTAGAATACAATCCAGAAATAAAGTATACAATGCCCTTCAACAACTTGCTAAAGTCAAAGTGTCTGTCTCGCAACACCAAAATCAAAATATATAAAACGCTGATTAGACCAGTCGTTTTATATGGCTCTAAAACTTGAAGCAGAAATGAAAAAGATAAGGCCTTATTACAGGTTTTCAAGAACAGTCTGCAGCAGTAAACCTCAAGGGCTCAGAATGCTAAAGAAGAAGATGACGATTCTGTGCTACTTTATGTGAAGTAAAAGTTCAGCGTACATTTGACATTATGAATGTTTTTTTGGGGGGGAGGGGGAGAAATTTCATACACACTATGCGTATTCGGTCGAATAGTTGGTCCAGTTATTCGTATTTGGCTGAATATTTAAAATCACTATTCGGTACAGCCCTAATTTTTACAGTATTCCTCAGCCTTTTTATATCTGCGGCCAGTCAAAACAGGAGAAATTGTTTTGCTGCCCATCCGACTGCTTAACAAACACAGAAATGTGGGTGGGGGGGGGGGGGGGGGTAGACTGCGGTTTATTTGGTAAATCAGATGTCACAGAAATTGCCATTTTCGGTCAAAGTGAGATTTTCAGATTCTCATATTTGAGTTGGTCCTACAGACTGCTATTCTGGAAAAGGAAAACTACCTACCATACCCCGTTACATGTTATGACATAAATTTGTGCCTTTTGAAGAACACTGGTTTCACGCATCATTTGTTGCCTGTTCAGTACTCACTTCTTCCTGTCAACCTTGAATGAAACTGAACCCATCAAACAAAGCCTGTTAAGCCCTTCATAATCTTGTTAATGCCCTGTTAATGTTCCTTGTGTGGGTTCCAGGGCCACTTCTTCCCTGACAAGCATGTCGTAAGTGGTGACTAGAGAGGACAATGTTGAAATAGGATTTATTGAGCTGAAAGGTGCAGTTATCACAGCTGTTAACCACTGCATAACATGTCAGCTGTCCTTTTAACTCTTTCTGCCTCAATGAACGCACCATGTTTGACTGGATATTATTTATGTGAGCCACTTAGTAAGTTATCTGTGTTTTATATTTGAGGATTAGAGAGGGATTTTTTTTTTTTTAACTTAGACAGAATATGTTTTCTTAATGGATTGGGTGTTTGGCCCCTATGTAAGTAGTGTATCCATGAATTCACTGTTGTCGTTCTTGCCTGTCTTAGATATTAGTGTGTGTCTTCTGGGATTAAAAGAGTCAAGGGTGAGCACACAAGAAGAAGAAACTGGTTAGATTCTGTAACTAAAGTTTCCTGCAGGATGACTTTGTTTGTATAGGATCAGTTTTGTTACAAAAGCTCTATTTCTTCATATAAATAACACAAGAGAATCTTTGCACAGAGCACACACTCCGCAGCACCAATGAGGATCCAGATAAGTGAATATGAGAATCACGCATGCCCCACACTATTACTGTAATTTGGAGGAGTGTTATTTTTTTGATGTGTTGATTTTGTCTTGGCAGTAGCTTGTTTGGTCATGCTTTTTATTTGTTTCTATCTGCCAAGAGATTTTTCATGTGCATCGTATTTCGTCTGCTCTGAGACTTCTGCCATCGTGCCTCAAAACTAAACATCAACTCACTACCCTAAGATCAGAGGGAAGAGTACCACAAGATAAAGTAACTGTCTCATATCCACCTCACTTATAGTGATAGGCATTTTAGATGACAGTGTTCCTAGTTGATATTCAGGGACAGTATGATCACAGACTGTTATTGTTCTTCTACAGCTCTGTTTTGGGCATCTCCCAAAAGACCACCAAGGCCTCTTGAGTTTGATCCGTCTGATAATACGTACGTACAAATGTATTTATATGTGAGATTCATTTCCCACTGAATTGAGTACATGTCAGTTCATGAGGACTATGCTAGTCCAGTGGCTGGTTGCTTGCTTGCCTATAGGTATTGTGTTCATATCCGCATCGAAATAGATTTTTTATAATTGACATTGGCAATTGTGGTTGACGCAGCCTAAAACTGGTACCAGGAAATGTCCTGGGAGGTAAAGTTGGCTGGTATGATGTTGGTTGCATAACCATTCTAGGGCTGAATGGTGTACTGAATGTGGTCAACATGACACCAGCTGCCTTTACCTCCCAGGATTTTACTTGGTACCCATTGAAGGCCGGGTCAACCTGGGAGCCAAGATTATGTTTTGAAAAACATCTGGCTGAAGCAGATGTTTATATTAATAAAGGATGTAGTCAATGTTTTTCAAGGGGTATTTTTACATAAATTATGTAACTAAATTACATTACCCTAGATTTGAGTTTAGTTGCTTCCTGATGTAATATTTATTTAATGGGTTCATTTTGCAAGAGAGATGTCACATATTTATGAGATTTTGCGAATATGTATAGAACGTAATGAGCATTAAAAGTGTATTGCAGGGCACTACTAAATCTTATAAATTTTAAAAATATACAACTGTCTTGTGGCTACATATTAATATTGATCATGAATCATTCAAGATATTAAAATATGTATATTTATATATATATTTGAACTTAACATTACAGAAAAATGTGTAGACTAAACAATAACAAAAAAAAATTTTTAAATATGAATCCACACATTTTGTAAAATGTAAATGTCATAGAAAACTGGCTCATAAAGAGCATAATTTTTCAAGAATTTAAGTACTTTCTCTTTGTTAAAATCCCTGTGTGGGTTCATGGGGCGCCAATATGGGGACAAAAATTAGACCCACTGACACCTCTCCCCCCCTCCCCCTTTTTTCCCCGCCCTTCAGAATCGGAGGGCATCTACCTGAGAGGCAAGGAACCAACAGTCTGCTTTTAAAAAAAAAATCAGATCTGCAAAACAAATGTGCATGCAAAGCTTGTTTTAGTACAAGACCAACCGAACAGCCATAACTTTCTACCAGAGTTTACTGCCGGTGAATGCTAAGGCAAAGAAGAAGAGGTTGTTAAATATCACAGGAGTTTACAAAGAGCAGTAATGGATGGCAAGATGCCTGGCAATGTGCTGGTAAATAAAGGCTGTCAGCATGATAGAGACCACATCACCCATCTAGCACCATCTGGCCTCACATCACCCATCTAGCACCATCTGGCCTCTCATCACCCATCTAGCACCATCTGGCCTCACATCACCCATCTAGCACCATCTGGCCTCACATCACCCATCTAGCACCATCTGGCCTCACTTCACCCATCTAGCACCATCTGGCCTATATAAATGTAGAGCAGTGTTGTAAAACAGGTGTTTATTGACTAATGAAGAAGCGTCTAGGGAAATATGATGACTTCAGGCCCACATGATTTAAGTGCTAGTAAGACCACTGAAACATCAGTAATATACTTTATTCTATGCACCATACAATAACAATATGAGGATGAAGGATATGCCAACAGTCTCTCATTGCTCTCAAGCACAACATAGAACATTCGAGCAATAGTTACCCAAACATTATAACACTGTCCCTGTCTCGCACTCCCATCATGGGAACTTTGGGATATGAGTGGAATACATCTGGAGAATAAACCAGCACAGAGTCGGAATAGCCCTACAATGCTGGTAACTTGTGACGTTTCCACACAGCGGGGCAAGCAGATCTCATCAGCACAACAAACCGGCACAAAGTCCGAACTGCCCTGCCAATCTCTCCACAACTTGGGAGATAGTAACCTGCATCCACACACAACGCCGCAAACAGGTCTCACTGATCAAGTCTGTTTCTGAGCAGTTTTGCTTATTCCCAAACCTGCCCGTTCAGTTCATGAAAATCCCTTTTGCCATGCTTGATGGCGAGCAAGCCTTAGTGCAGTTCTCAGGGACTACAAGTACTGCGACATTCCCAGAATCTCAGCTAGTATCCTGAGCTCCTGACCCCTCACTTAATTAATATTCATGCTAGTTAATAATCATGAGATATTAATTTAGACAATAATGTTCATACATTCATGTTCTAATCCTACTCATTCTATTATCATTCTGTCTCTCTTTCTCTCAATATTAATGTGAATACAAGTGACACACAACAGGCGGGAACCATAAACCCAGTCTACCTGAAGATGTGGAACCCAGACATTTTACTGATTAATGTAATGGTCTTCTGTAGAATTCTGTAGTGCCTCATCAGTTTGTAGTCTACAGAGATTTGCTATGGATTTTACATATTGTTACACAAGTTCTAGATTTCCCGCCATCCTGAAAAGCTAAGTGTCTGATCTGCTACTCCAGCATCAGGGGCAGTAGATCTTTCTTTGGTTACCACTTTTTAGGATTCTGTAGCTGAACTGTCAATATCTGGTCTTGTTAGAGTATCTCTAAGCTGACACCCGTGATCACGCACCCACCACTGCACACAGAGAGAGAGAGAGTTTTGAATTTGTTTCTCCTATACTTGCAGACATGTGCTGTTTGTGACAACCACTGCTAGGCTGTATGCTGATATATACAAAGTCAATTGGACAGAAGAGGTAACGGTGTTGAAAGAACTATATATATATATATATATATATACACACACACTTCCAAATTTACTATTCTGTCTTGGATAGATGGAATATTAGAGGCTGTAAATACCAGCATCTACTTAGCACATGCTAAGGCTCGCTTCTGATGCCTCTTCAAAACTATATGCTAAAAGGCAGACAATAACTAAAGAAGAACGTTATTTTTCATTTTCTTTCTTGATCTCTCAGTGAAGTACAGCCCACCCCTCTCCCAAAATAGCCTGGTTCGAGATTTGTTACTGTGCACCTACAGTTTTCTATAGGCATATGATATCACAACGTCTAGTTTGAGAATGGAGGTGGAGGCAGTCACTGCTGCCTTCCGCTGGCTTGAGAATCAGCTGTACACACATGCCGTCATTGTAACTGACTGACAGAGCATGTTGAGAAAAGTGGAGGCAGGCATGCTCCATGCAGAGTGGCAAGCATCACTTCCAAGGTCCCGTATAGCATCCTTTGGATATTTTCTGCAGGTCATGCCAGTGTGTTGGGAAATGAACAGGCAGATAGACTGGTCTGTTCTGCACCACTTGGTAAATGATGTATGACGAGCTGGATGTTGTGAGGGCCCTTTGGGAGCGAGTGAACAGTGCCAAGGCACAGATAGATTATTACGGTCTTAGGAGAATGGCACTGTGAGGAGTTACAAGGGGATCTGTCCGACACTTGGCACTCAGGGGAAAGGCGAGACGGATATACAATCAGACAGTTACTGGTACCATCGGAATTTTAACTTCACTTGCTGCTGAAGATGGGGATGGAATGCTTTTGGGAGTGTCCAGAGGGCTGTGATGTTGATTCTTAATTCAACATTCAAGAGGTATTGATGTGGATTCATGAAAACAGAATATCGTGGAACATGTTGTGCGGAGGGTGAAATCAGGAAGGGAGTGGGGATATGGGAGAAAATGGTTAGAGGCAGGGTAAGAGCTGAGAATAAGCAAATATATGGGATGGCAAAAACATGGGTCCTGAAATCCCTTGCTGTAATTGTGGAAGACTTCTTAGTGCAAGAGGGTCTTGTCAGTGACACTCGCCATTGCCATTGGCTGTTATTCCTGTGCCTTTCTTTAGCACCGTATAACACTGTCTTCTGGGATATTGCCGTCAACATTAGGTTACTTTGTTCAGCATAGCACATGATAATATATGCTAGTCCATTGCTACACTGTTCTTGTTCAACATGGTATAGTTTAATCCAGCACACACTAAGTGGGTGAAGATCAGCATGGGCATACACAGCACAAAGGATGTGGAAAAGAATAAAGAGGATAGGGGCGCTTACCAGACAACTACACCCAGCATGACCATGGAGATAACTGTTGCTTCCAGAGAACTTACGGTAGGCTGCAGAACAAGCGGTTAGACGTGTGGTAGTCATTTTAAACTCCATGAACATGCTTAGGAAAATCAAACACTTTACACTCTGAATGGGTAGAAAGCATTTAGGAGTTGCAGTTAACCACCATCTACTGGATCTACACACCTTGGCATGCAGGAGTAAATGGTAATGAAAGAGCCAACCAGCTCTCATTTAATGTCAGAAAGAGGGTGCTAAAATGTTACATAGAACCTATATTTCAACGAATCTTGGAATGTCACTGAACAAATTAAGAAGAATTTGGAAGCAACAGTGATGTGGTTTCTGAGACAGATGTTATGAATACCTTGGGCGACCAGAGTAACTAACAAGGATTGCTTGAAAGAGGCTTATGAAAGTAGATCTCTATATACAACAATAAGAAAGACACAAACATTGTTTTTTGGCCACATAATGAGAAGAGACATTTAAGAACATCGTGAAAACTGGAAAGATCAGTGGAAAAAGTGGTACAGGCAGACCAAGAGTGATAATGCTGGACAGGCTAAAACGATGGCATAGAGGGATATCATCAAGAGAGCTGTTCCAGGCAACCAGGGATCGTGATCTGGGGAGACGCATAAGCGCCTGCGCCAGTTAAAAGGGCACATGATGATGATGGTGAACACGACATGGAAATACAGTTTGGTGGGACACATCTTTGCCGTAATCGAGGTCAAGACAGCAGACACTATAGCCAACTTCTCATGGAAACAATCAGTAGAGGCACCTTGGAGTGGCTGCTACATTGGGGAACTGAGCATGCATGGAAATGACCATTTTGCAGTGACGTTTAAATTAGATAACAACATTTCAAAGCTATATGTGAGCATTGTTGGTTGTATTGTAATGTCTGAACCCATTCATATTTCTCTCCACACCAGGATCTTGAATGGAAGAACATAGAATCCATCTTGTCCCAGGTGCATGTGCCAGAGTTTCGACCATCTAACAAGGTGCATTAAATTATATGTTGATTTGAGCAGCATTATGGGAACATTCTGTGTGTGGGGTGGGGGAAGGATCAAGGACTATAGTTATTTGCCATCCTTACATATCAGGAAAATGGTGCTGTATGTTCTTTGGCAAATAATCAGTTCAGGTGATGTGGTCAGTGTTATTCCTAAGCTCTTAGAACATTGTGTTAGTTAGTTAGTTAGTCTTTCCTCTTGTGTCGAGTGCGGCACATAGGGCAGAGGTCATGACTCTCCATGCATGGCGGTTCGTTGCAATCCGTTGTAGGTCTTGGATGTTTGAGTGGCCCATGAGCGAGCCTTCCCTGATGATAGTTCTACGTAGGGTTTCCCTTGGTCTTCCACGAGATCTTTTCCCCTGTGGTGTCCAAATGAGGGCTTGGTAAGGAAGTCTTGATTTATCCATTCTAAGGGCGTGGCCGACATAGTTCCAGCGGCGTTTTCGTATAAAATTAGACACATACTCTTGCCTGAATTCTTGCCTTATTTGTGCATTGGTTCGGAAATCTGACCATTTGAAATTTAGTATTCTTCTAAGGCATTTATTTTCGAAACTGTCTAATTTTGTGTCTAGAGTTTTCGTTGATTTCCAGCTCTCGCATCCATAGGTTAGTACTGGAATCACACAAGAATTGAAGATCTTGAGTTTTTGTTGTGTGATACTCCTTTAATAAAGGGGGTTGACTTCGGAATCATTTGGTCATGAAAAAATGCATCCACTCCTTTTTCTTTCCTGATGAAAAAGGATTTGAACTCACGATAATTGGTCAACAGATGGGTATTGTAATCAGGATAATAATGCCTAAATGGTTTCCATTGCTGCGCTGATTAATTTCTCTCCGTTCATTCATATCTGCAATACAAATGGTGGAATTCATGTGGAGTGATGCTCTTGTCAAGCTTCTTGCTGTTTTACGAAAAGAGACTTGACCATTTGGGATGGAACAAAGTGCAATGAAGATGATCCTATCGACTTTAAAACCTTTAACTTGGGTGTGTTTGATCCATTGTTAACTGTTCTTGACTTTACTAATGGACGGCTGTTTCACTTCTGTCTCATTGTGAACTGAGGGGGAAAAAACTGCCATTGCTGCATGTACTTATCACTTTTTTCTGTGCAGAAGGGACCTTTGAGCCTGTGGATTTAGGGCTGCTTGGCTAGTAGTTACGACAGACTCTGCAGGTTAGCATTTGATTTTTGCCCCCTACAGATAAAAAGCCTCAGCCTTACAAAGGATTCAAACCCAGGGCTCCGTGTAGTAGCCTGTATTCTTAACCATTCGGACCAGTCGCTATTCGCGTCTTATTCTAAGCATTTTGTAAATCTTAATCTTTTCAGAGAATTGTCACTGATGATACAGTCAGCAAGGATGCAGCTTCTACCCAGCAAGTATCAGATGATGTGGTTGAGGAGGCGGGCTTGAGAATCCAGAGGGTGTGCCAGTCTGGAAACAAATCAGGTACTGTTTATTTTATTAAGGACTGTGTTGGGGATCTTATGAATTCTTGTCTCTTGTGTTTGTGGCAGTCACCAACAAATTAAAATCTTTTTGCATATTTCCAAGATGTCAGGCTTAACAGAATGGAAGGGTTTTCTCAGGAACCACGGTCGATGCTTGAGCATACATTCACTTGTGTGTAGATTCACTCGGCTTGCACTCTTCCAGTGCCACAAGTCTAGACTCTCTAATGATCTAAAACAAGACTAAGCTTTCAAATTTGCTCAGCGCATAAATAACCTCTTACCTTCTCATTCACTCAAATACTCTAATCAAAATGTTCAGTATTTCTTCAATTGGCACACTTCAGAGTTGGCATCATGGACTCAGTTAATTCATGCATACATTATAATTAAGAATTAATGCCATCCATTAACGCTCTTGAATATACTTTATGTTTAGTGATTGTCCTCATTTCCAAATCATGGGAATATTTACCAACAATGAGAAAGTGGGTTGTTACACTGTCTAGGCATTTCTAAGCAAATAATTCTCATCTGCAGATGTCTTTAAATATGCTTCAGTCTCATCTCATAGATCACACGCTTAGAACTTTACATTGATGAAAAGCCTCATAAGTTTGTAACACAATCACACTTCTGATAGCCCATCAAATATGCTGCAGGCCATTATGTTTGTCCACAGCCTTCTTTTTCATATAGTCCCAATCTTTTTGGCAATTGATGCTGAGCAATTAAAAATTTTGTTTACTTTCTTAACAAAATTATTATCTTATTTCAGCGATTAGCCTCAGCCCATTGATGCACAAACTTAATAATTAAATAACCACAGTTTTGTAATTTTTTAATTGATTTTTGAAAATCTGTATTTCATTTAATGATCCGTCATATATACATGGTTCCCATGACAAAAATGTGCTATTCAATCTTTGCAGCTTTTAATCGCATGTGTGCCTTGGACTTTGAGAAGGATGATGATTCAAATGGTCATATCGACTTTATTGCATCAGTTACGGTAAGTCAACCTGTATTTGATCATCTTATACATACTGTGCTCATCATCATCATCATTTCCCTGATAGGGTTCCAGGGATAGACCCACCGCTCCTTAACGATCATATTGTAAAGAGCAATTAATTAACCTTCTAGTCCCGAGAAACTGCTAATCTGGCATCACCATCTGTTACAAAACTCCAGAGAAGCCATTTAACTGGCATTGCAGCTGGCCAAACAGTAAAGAGTGCAGGACTGTCAAGCAGGTGACCCAGATTAGGATTCACAGAAAGTAATTTTGTTGTTGTTGTTTTTGAGGGTAGAAATAATATCCTAACCTGCAGTCCATAATAGCAGCATCACCAACAAAAGACCCCCCCCCCCCCCCCCCTTCCCCCCGCCTACACTGCAAAAGTGGTAATGACAGGTAGTGATGACAGTTTTATGGCAGCCGGTGAATTGGCCAATCTCCAAGTCGGGTTAATGGCATTGGTTTTGTTTGCACCTGCTCAGTGTTAAGAAGGGATTTACAGCCTAACTTGACAGTAATTTATATATTTCACTGAAAAGATCTCATGTTTTATGCTTCGTTATATGTTGGTTTTACTCTGTAGTAATGCCCCTGATGAGATACATTATTTAAATTTACAACTGTAAAGCAGATTTTTTTTTTAAACCTAGTTTAAATTTATGTAAATACTTTTTTCCTAAATTTGTCAGTGACCTGTTTGTTAAAGATTTGTTTGAGGGATTCCTGGGCTGATAGGATTTTCTCCAAAGGGTGTATGGGATTAAAGGGTTCAGGATTTGCTAAACTTAGATGTGTTTGGCCAGAAAGGCACAGATTTCACAGTCTGGCTGTAAGCCTCAGCTCAATGAGCCAATCACTGTTTTATAGGTGAATGTCCAAAAGAGAATTCTTTCTTAAAATGGTCTTTTTCCCCAGATACTGCTCCCATCTTTGCCAGCTGGTTTAGGGCTCTATGTCCCTTGCCACTTCCCTGCCACATGTATTTTCAGTCCAGTTATGTCTCGTGTGTTAAGTAAGCGTCCACTTTCAGTCCTGAGAAGTTGAGTTAGAATCAACATCACACAGCACTTGAAACATTCCCATAAGTGCTCAGTGTATGATGTACTTGTCACAGAAGCTGAGGATCCAGAAAGTGTAATTAAAAACCCAGAAAATGTATGTTGAACTTGTCACAGAATCTGAGGATCCAGAACGTGTATGTTTGTCACAGAATCTGAAGACCCAGAACATGTATGTTGTATTTGTCACAGAATCTGAAGACCCAGAACATGTATGTTGAACTTGTCACAGAATCTGAGGACCCAGAACGTGTATGTTGTACTTGTCACAGAATCTGAGGACCCAGAATGTGAATGTTGTATTTGTCACAGAATCTGAAGGCCCAGAACGTGTATGTTGTATTTGTCACAGAATCTGAAGATCCAGAACGTGTTATGTTGTATTTGTCACAGAACCTGAAGACCCAGAACGTGTATGTTGTATTTGTCACAGAATCTGAAGACCCAGAACGTGTATGTTGTATTTGTCACAGAATCTGAAGACCCAGAACGTGTATGTTTGTCACAGAATCTGAAGACCCAGAACGTGTATGTTGTACTTGTCACAGAATCTGAAGACCAAGAACGTGTATGTTGTATTTGTCACAGAATCTGAAGACCCAGAACGTGTATGTTGTACTTGTCACAGAATCTGAAGACCAAGAATGTGTATGTTGTATTTGTCACAGAATCTGAAGACCCAGAACGTGTATGTTGTATTTGTCACAGAATCTGAAGACCCAGAACGTGTATGTTGTATTTGTCACAGAATCTGAAGACCCAGAACGTGTATGTTGTATTTGTCACAGAATCTGAAGACCCAGAACGTGTATGTTGTACTTGTCACAGAATCTGAAGACCCAGAATGTGTATGTTGTATTTGTCACAGAATCTGAAGACCCAGAACGTGTATGGTGTATTTGTCCCAGAATCTGAAGACCCCCAAAATATTTCTGATGTATTTATTACAGAATCTGAGGGCCCAGATGTACAACATTGAAAATGGAGACCGTCTAAAGATCAAGAAGATTGCAGGCAGGATTGTGCCTGCTATTGCCACCACAACTGCTGCAGTGTCAGGTCTGGTAACCATTGAGTTGATCAAAGTCTTGCACAAGGCTCCACTGGAACAACTGAAGAATTGTTTCCTGAACCTTGCCTTGCCTGTGATACTTCTGTCGGAACCAGGGCCAGTTACTAAAACTGTACTTCGGTAAGTGTGATGTCTGTATGACATCGTCAGTTTCCTCCTAGAATTGTGTCATTTAACCTGATTCAGACCCGGGATTGTTTTCGCCGGACTTTCAAGTCACCGTAATATGTGGTCTTCACCTAAATCTGTATGAGACCATTCCTGTGTGCCTTTTTTCTGGGATACTTTTGCTGTTTAAGTCCTAGACAGTCAGGCCAACTGCCCTAATGACAATGTAACACGACTTTCATTGGGGAAAGAATGTGTTGCCAGATTTATTTAGTATTCTGTGACAAAAACCTAAGCTGTACATTCATAAATGGCATGTGCATGAAGAATTTTGTTTGGCTACCCTTTATCTCCCAGTTTAGCTGAGGATGTCAACCAACTTGCCAAGTGGTTCTATCTTTTGTTGTGGTGTGCAGCTTGCCCTGTGTTCTCCCATGTTTTTGTTTTTTTCAGGGAGCTATGAAAATCTTGCTTGTGACAGGCAGCTAACCATCCTCTGCAGGTAGATCAAGCCATATGGGATGACTTAATGCAGTCAAGTTGATCCTCAGAACTTTAACTTAAACAAATGATGTGTTTAGATTTGTTCGCTGTTATCTGTTGTGTCCTGTTCTGAATCTAAAGACAGCAAATAGTCCAGACCATAAGACACTGTTGATCTGGTAATTGAACATGTCTGAGGAGAGTTGCTGAAGTAACCAGACAAGATCAAATTAAAAGTGAAGAAATTAGAAAAATACTGGCGCTGAAACCAGTCATATATTTCAATACAGAGCAACAGGTGAGATGGTTTGGCCATCTAACAAGAATGTCATGGTACCACCTGCCACAGACAGCCATGTTGAAGAAAAATAATGAACTCATAGTAAGGGAAGACTGCACAAAATATTGAATGACAGCTTTAAGAACAGGGACAAGAAATGAAAATCAAATTATGCGTTTAAAAGAAAAAACAGAGATGCTTACATCTCTTCGATAAGGTAACTGGAGAAAGAGAAGAAGTTTGAACAGCTGACTTTGCTTTTATTACATTTTGTTTTTGAAGTATGTCACTGATGTGCATCAGTGTGTCTGCTTGTTTGTTTATTACAGAGAAGGACTTAGCGTCACCATCTGGGACAAGTGGGAGATCAGAGGCTCCCCAGCATTCACTCTGCAGAACTTCATTGATCAGTGCAAGGTAACTTCACAAACTTATTGTCATGCCTCTAACGGTTAACCTAACTACACAGATTCATTGCAGTCCCTGTCAGAATTACCGTAAATTGCTGCTTAGGGGTGGTTTTCAAACCTAACAAAAAATCTTTTAAACACTAAGGTTTGACTTATGTGATGCAAACTTCATTACATTTTTCATTTACTGTGTACTTTCCTTGCTGTAGCGCTGTTGTTTAGAGATGTTTCAAATGCAACAGTTTTTAACTTGAAAAAGGTGTGATATTTCATTTTGTTGTTGTCAGTGCAGCCTTAGGGGATCAAATATTTTCAGCTACAGTCATCATCATCATCAATTTCCACTTCTGCCATTAAGCTTTGCCGGAAGGAACAGATTGTGATCCTTTGCTTGATGGGCAGCACTGGCTGTTGTCTTTCCTTGTAGATGTTGAAGCTCTTTAATGTCATCAGTCCATCTTCTCCTAGGGCAGCCTCCTGCTTTCACTTCAGATCTTTTCATATGTAGTTGTTCTGGCTGCATTCTTACTAGATGACCAAACTGTTTTATCTTCTTTTTCTTGTTGAATTTGCTGCATGGTGTTGTTCCTACGGTCTGTCTGATAATATCATTTCTAACTTTTTTGAGTTGAGTTAGCGGCTTTTCTCAGGCATCTCATTTCACAGGTGTTAAATTTTACACAGGTTAGTTTTTGATAAAATCCAGATCTGGCACTGGTAGCACAGTATTGTTTAGCTACAGTAAGAACTGAATATCCTGGTTATTGAACAACTACAGCAGTGGGGAGACTAGTTTCACTTGTGGTGTTGTCAGCCTAGCATGTAGGTACGAGGTGTTGTCAGCCTAGCATGTAGGTACGAGGTGTTGTCAGCCTAGCATGTAGGTACGGGGTGTTGTCAGCCTAGCATGTAGGTACGAGGTGTTGTCAGCCTAGCATGTAGGTACGAGGTGTTGTCAGCCTAGCATGTAGGTACGGGGTGTTGTCAGCCTAGCATGTAGGTACGTGGTGTTTTCAGCCTAGCATGTAGGTACGAGGTGTTGTCAGCCTAGCATGTAGGTACGAGGTGTTGTCAGCCTAGCATGTAGGTACGTGGTGTTTTCAGCCTAGCATGTAGGTACGAGGTGTTGTCAGCCTAGCATGTAGGTACGTGGTGTTTTCAGCCTAGCATGTAGGTACGAGGTGTTGTCAGCCTAGCATGTAGGTACGAGGTGTTGTCAGCCTAGCATGTAGGTACGGGGTGTTGTCAGCCTAGCATGTAGGTACGTGGTGTTTTCAGCCTAGCATGTAGGTACGAGGTGTTGTCAGCCTAGCATGTAGGTACGGGGTGTTGTCAGCCTAGCATGTAGGTACAAGGTTTGTTTTTTAAAAGTAAGGCCCATTTTGACTGCAGCGACAAAGAACATCGAATGTGATCAGAACTTATTTGTAGACCAGGAGAAAGCTTTTCACAGGGTTGATAGACAAAAATTATGGAAAGTAATGGCTCGATATGGAGTAAGTGAACACCTCATTGAAGTTTGCAAAAGCTTTTATGGAGATTGTAAAAGCGTAGTTAAAATAAATCAGGGAGCATCGAAACCATACCAAGTAACATCTGGAGCAATACTGGGATGTGTTGTATCACTTACATTGATGGTGTAAGCAAAGATACCAAGCCCAGGAACGAAAATAGTAGTAAAATCATCAAATTACTCTTTTGCTGATGACCAGGCCTTGATTGCAGATATAGCAATGAATTTGCAACAGTATATCACATCCATGAATAAAGAATGTAAATCAAATAACATGAGAATCAACATCGAAAATGCAGAAGTAATATCAATAGGAAGACAGAAGCAGAATTTAAATATAGCATTAGAGCATGAGCATGCATATATTAAACAGCATCAGAGTTTAAATCTCTTGGAACAACATTAACTGAAGAAAATATATTGGACAAAGAAATTAACATCCGATGCAGTAAAGCAGGCCAAGTATTGGGACAGCTAGCTCCCCTCTTACAGCATAAGGCAGTCAATCCCAATCAGCACAAACATCTCATACAAAGCATATTCATTCCCACCCTATGCTACCAGTGCTGGATGTGGTCTCTCACAACAAAACATAAACAAAAATTAGCAAGCATGGAAATGAGGTGTCTGAGAAAGACTGTAGGAGTGACCAGAAGAGGTGAAATCAGGAATGAGGTCCTACGAGATAAAGTCGGCACAGAACCAATTCTAAATTACATACAAAGACAGCAAATAAAATGGTTTGCTCACTTGGAGTGGAGAGAATACCTTCTGATACTATACCATACAAAGCATATACGAAAAGATGATAGACGTCTAGCAAGATGTAGACCAAGAACAATATGGAAAGATAACATCAGAAAAACTCTACAGCACTACAATGTATCCATCATTGAATCATCCAGAAGAGGACGTAAAGAAGAGAAGAAGAAGACGAACACCGATGGAATACGTAAATGTGCATATGTTTATGTGGTTCATTAGCTAGCCATGTGATATTTTTTTACTGTCAAAATCTTCTTTGATACGGCGTGTGAGTGATTTATAATGAGTGCAAAAACAAATACTCCTGCTGTGATCTGTTTTTCGTTAGCAAAAAACACCAGTGTTGCAGAAATTCACAGGCAACTCATCAAGGTTTATGGGCCAGATGTTATGACTAATAATATGGTGGTTAGGAAATGGTGTTGAATCTTTAAAGAAAGTGTGAACAAATATCCATGGTGAAAATCGTAGCGGTCAGTCGAGTATGGTGACAGATGATTTGGTAGAGTGAACCAAAAAATGCAGGAAAATTTTTATTTCAAGATTTCTGAGTTGTCTGCTAAATTTTCAGAAGTTTCGCGGTCACTGATTTATGACATTTGACAAGAGACCTTGGATTTAAACAAAACTGTGCCATCCAAAGCAACTGACGTAGGTTGCTGTCCTCTGGAGTTGTGCTTTTTCACTATAAGGCTCAACTTCACGTTGCAGATGGAATTGTTCAAATTTTGTAAAAATTTCACTGGGATATCATTGACCACCCTCCCTACAGACCCGATCTGGTGCCAAGTGATTACCACTTTTTCATACACCTAAAGAAGTGGCTGGAAACTGGTGATAAACTGCAGACAGGCATTATTGAAGGGTTCAAGACACTGGCGGCAGACTTCTGTGACATTAGAATTAAGAACCTGGTGCCACGATCCCAAAAATGTGTTGAAGTCACTAGTGGCTAAATTGAGAAATAATATCAATATGTGGTTCTTTTTTGGCTGCATTAAATCATTTTATATATGATGGTTTTTTTTAAGAATTTTATAACGGGACTTACTTAAAAAATCGCGCCTCATAATAACTGGATAATTCAAAAAAAGGCATGAAGATATTAAGTTTATCTGGTTGTTAACAGTAATTGCCTTGTTAATCTGTCCAATATAATGGGATGAGAGTCAGACATGAGTGTTGACAGTGTATTGGACCCACAGTTTTGCAGTTCGCTGCATGAGGTTGGCAACATCAGTTTTTAAATTTAGTTGAGTTATACTAATACAGTATATGGTATCTGCCAGTGTGTGTCATAGATTGTTTGCTATATACCACTTACATAAAAATACTACCATTAGTGTCTCAATATACAGTGAGAAGTTTTTATGTAGTTTTGGCACAGGTTATCATATACTGTTACCTAACTTCATTTACCAATAGGCCAAAGTTTTGGGCCACTTTTAATCAACAGTATCTTTCAGTGAGGACCTATATGGTGAGTGTAGACCTCTCAGAGTTTCAGCAACAAAACATGAGGGTGACTTGTACGCTGCAGGTTACAGTAATCTGTGTCCACACACTCATGATCATCCCTATAACAGCCTGATTCCACAAACTCCTTGATTTGAGTGAAGAGAACGGCAGACATTTTTAAAGCGTATGCAACTCTTATTCTTCTGTTTCCCGGATGCTCAGTCATTAAAAATTTTAGTTTCTTTATATTTTTTGTTTCAAAGCAAGCATTTTTAGGTATTCATTAATTGTGTACAATGAGAAATATAGTCTTTGATATACCCTGAGAGAGACCGATCACCATGGCATGACCCAGAGTGCAGTTAACATCAGCTCTGTCAACAGTAAATAGTATTCTCGACACATGTTGATGCTTATATCTACAGGAGCAGTTTGGGTTTGAAGCTAGCTCCGTGGTTCAAGGGGTGAAGATTGTCTATATGCCTTTCATGCCAGGACATGCAAAGAAACTGCCATTACTGTGAGTACCTGTGGTGTTGTCTTTTAACCCTCTATTGTTTATTAAATAGTAAATTTGATTTCAATGGAGATGACCCGTCGTTATAATGAAAACATTGTTTTCCAATGTAATTTTATTGTTGCAGAACTTTACCTCCAAGGGTATATTTCTTGTGCTTGATTGGCCAGATTAAAAGTTGTAGGTAAATTATAAAAATCCTTGATACAGATTCAAATTCATGTCTGATTCTTACCAGAGTCAGGGAAAATGATTAAAATTTGGGTGATTGAAAAAAAAATTTTGAATTCTTAGAAAACTAGAATATTAGAAATAAATGTATGAAACAAACTCTTCACATACTTAAAATAAAAAAATGTAAAAGTCCCTTTTCCATGCCTACAGGCCTAACAGGCATATAGGGCTAGAGCTATATTTTATAGACCAATCAGCACTTATTGGGTGATGTGGTCGACATCCTGAGGCCGCCTTCATATACTTATGTACATGTAATTAGTTTGAGAAGAAAAGTTTGAGACAAAGTAAGTAGAATATGTTGTGTATTGCTGCGCACATTAAAAATCACTTGGTAGTTGGAAATGGTGCTGCCAGGGCAAAATTTTGAGTTTAAAATTGTCCTAAAGTGTTTCAGGATCCTGGCCAGAGTTTGTGCACTGGCTTGAGCTTCTTTGGACTCAGGCTTCAGTTAGAAGTAAAACGGAGCACTAACTCTTGTGCCGTGATGTTGGTCTGTTGTAAAAATCAAAACTAAATCAAGTAGATTATAAAGATGTCATCTCTTTTCTTAGCATTCACAGGCTGTAAACTCCAGTGAAACGTTCTGGTTGTTTGTCCACTTCTGGACTTTGGTCTTGTTCTAGAACTGAGTTTTACATGCACATCCATTTTACAGATCTGGCTTAGTTGTATGCTGTTAGTTGTAGCCTGTTGATTCTTTGTCGCTCAGACAGATGCACTCCGACTTGGAGGAAACACCTCTAATTAGTTGCCGTAAACGACATGCTTGTCACTGGGGCAGCGGTCTATTCATTTTTCTTTATCCAAAATGGGGCCTTAGAACCCACACAGAGATCTGAGACCCAGTTTATGTGGGGAGAGGGGAGGGGGGAGTAAACAGACTAGACCCACTGCTCATTATCAAGCATATTGCAATAGTTGAATAATTAGGGATTTACTAAAATTTTATGTTTTAGGCCGAAAGGCTCAGCTTTGAACCTCAATATAGCATGTCGACCACATTTTCAAGGATGAATACAGAAGAAGATGAGCAAAAAATAATCTAATAAGCAGATAAATGTATAGATGGACAGAAGGAAAGCAATGGCAGTAGTAACTAAAGCTTATTAGGTTGCCACAAAAAAAAAAGCTATGGTTGATTCCAGGGCCGGCATCTCTGTGTGATCTCTGTTTAGCAATTTCAAAAACAGTGCTAAAATTATGTCAGAATAACATGAATAGATTCCTGTATTTCCCAGAGAAACAAAAGGGAGACTAAAACAAGTGAACAATAAAAGATTGCATGATTGAAAGATAGCAGTGAAAGACTTACTGAATGACATAAGGATAATGAAAGACGATGAATGAAGGAATATCAGTGAAAAATTGAATGACTAAAGGACACTAACTGTTTTCTGTCGTTTTTAATTAATTAGTCATTAGCACTAACTGGTCTGTACGCAGTTGGCCATTCACCTTTTCAGTGCAGCTTGCAACAGGAAATCACAATGAGCACACTGCAGGCATACAAGACATTCCACATGAAATTCACAACTCCACAGTGTTGCACCAGGCACTCAGCTCAGTTGCTGGATGATGGAACCTGTGGACTCCTAGTCCAGATATAGGGAAATTTTGCCAGCAGACACTGGCCAAAAGCAACTGTTAAAGACATCAGCTGCCAACCAGCCTATCCACCACATTAGACCAGAAATACATATCACATAATGAATGAAAGAAAAACAGTGAATAACAGAAGTAATGATTGAAAGAATAATAATAAGCGTTAATGTTTTCTATGGGGGCAAAAGCATGTTCATTTTAAACATGAATATAATAAAAATTAACATTATTTAAATTTGCCTTCAACAAAAACGTTTTTTTTTTTAAAATTCCCATTCACAGAATGAAGGACCTCTTGAAACCGTCTCCTGGCCAGAAGTACACCGATCTCATTGTGTCCTTTGATAACGATGATGGAGATGATGTTCCAGGGCCGCCTGTCAGATATTATTTTTGAACCAGCAGCAGTATCAATGTATTAAATGATCATATCGTACGCTAGTCTGATTCCTTTGGAGCTATCAGTTTTGATGTTTTGCTGTCAGCAGCGTGACTCATGAAACACTTCTTCAGACTATTCTGTTCATCAACTTTTCACTACCAGTCTGTAATCGCTTTAACTCTTTATATGATTAAGATTTTATAATTTAAAGTAGCCAGTGTTTGAGTCTAACATTGTAAAAAAAATTTTTAAAAATGTTTATACTGTAGTGACCCCTTAATCCTCTCTCTCGCCCTGTGAAGGCCTTAAAAAAATGAAGTCGTGAACCTGTGGGAATTTCCACGCCAAAAAAAGTCCTTTAAAAAAACAGCTGTTCAACACAGGTAACTAATAATTTGTTTATATTTATCTACATTTAAAAAAAATTTAATTTGTTTAAATCCATAATATTTAAAGAAATGAAAAGGAGAAATCAGTAGCAAGAACAGTGAAGCATTAAATAAATAGTCTTTTCCCAAGGTCTAAAACAAATATGTATCGGCTGACTCATGCTGTAACCTCAATGACTGAAGCTTGCTGGAAAACTTTGAGTCAACCTAGCTTTTAAAATGCTGTTTCATTTACAAGGAAACCCCCTCTAAATGCTCAGTTTAGTTACTATTTTCTCATCCGAGCTTTTGAAATACTACGCTGGTGCACATAGAACCAGTGGCTTTTAACTAAACTTTTCGAGAACAGGGGACTGGAAAAGTAACGATTTGTTTGACATTTGCAGGGCTGTCCCAACTGGAAGTGGCTATATTTAGCCTTCTTGGAATGTAGGGTCAACATAATAATACAGAAGGGGTAAAACCAACAATTCAAATTAATTAGTTGATATAACAGCCAACTATCTGCTATTAAAAAGAGGATTTGGAAATTTGCACTGTCTTTGGACTGACAGAAGAACTTACATGAGCTCCATGGTGCCTAAAGAGTTGACTCTTTCTTTACCAGGTGACTTAAAAGACTTTTGTTTGTCACTGTACATACATGATATATGCTTTTATGTCTCTTTCTGTAGCTGATAGTTTTATTGCATATCAGAAAGTGCTCAGAAGTTGTTCAGAATGTTTAGTGCTATATGACAGAGTATCTTAGCACAAAGTATCTGAGCACAGAATATAAGAGAATCTCTGCACAGAGTATCCTAGCACAGAGTATCTTATTCTTTTGCATTTGCACTTAAAAGGATGGTTGGTTTGTGTGTGTGTTGTTTACTGCTAGGCTGTGATCTGCTCACTTTTGCCCTACACATCTGATTCAAGTGAATTCCTAAATTGTCACCTCTCACAACATGGCTTGTTAGCTGGCAGACGGTCTGTCCCTCCCCCCAAACCCTGAAATGGGGCCCTGAGAACCAAAACAGGATATGAGCACAAATTAGGAAGAGCTTGCAGGCATCAAGAGATGTGGTTTATGAGAGACAGAAACCTTGGACAGAGGACATTTAAAAACTGCCACGGACAAAAAAAACGTCAGAAATTCTATGCAAGCAAAAGAGACAGTGTTCTTCGAGTGGGTTTCAAGAAGAGGTGCATTTGAGAATCTTGTGACAACTGCAAAGATGGGTGGTAGATAAGACCATTGGATACCAAGTCTGCGGGGAAGTATCATCCCCTTCCTAGCATTAACCGGCTGTAGACAAAGGCTATTGGAGTCAAACCAGCGGAAGCCAAGGGGAAACCACCGCTGTACTATCCCTAGTTAATCATGCCTCAAAATAACGTGGTGTTAGAAAGTGGAAGAATGGGCCTCAGTTTGAATAATGGGAAGACAGAAGTAATGGTGGTAACAAAGAAACGAATTATTCCTAAATGTGTAATAAAAGCCAATGGTGTTATTTTAGGAAAATTACAGAAATTTAAGTATCAGGGCACTTTGATAACATCAGATGGAAGATGCATAACTGAAATAAGAAACAGAATTGGACAGGCAAAAACTGCATTTTATAAAATGAAAAACATCTTGTGCAATATGTCCTTGTCATTGAGAGTTAGAAAAAGAATTCTTGCTTGCTACATACATCCAGTTTTAACATATGGCTGTGAATCCTGGACAATCGGTAGGCAGGCCAAACAATTTTTAGAGGCCTCAGAGATGTGGTTTTACTGAAGAATGCTTAGAATACCTTGGACAGCCAAAAAGAGCAACCAAGAGGTTTTCAAAGAGGCGGAAGCCCGAAGACAACTTATCACAGACATCAGAAGGAGACAGTCATCATTTTTCGGCCATGTTATGAGAAGAGGGAAAATAGAACATGTTGTGACCACTGGAAAGATCTGTGGAAGGAGGGATAGAGGAAGACAACGAGAGAAGATGCTTGACAGTCTTGTTGCATGGCATGGAGTATCGGCACACGAACTGATACATGCTGCAGGAGATCGCAGATTATGGAGAGGTATGATCTCTTATGTCAGTCGGCAAGGCACCTGATGATGATGATGAAACTGGTAACAAGTTCTGATTGTTTGTCCGCTTCTGGACCTTGATCTTGTTTGTTTTGAGTTTTGCATGCACGTCTCTTTCATGGATCTGGCTTATATTTGTGAGTAGATTATTGGTTCCTTGCCTCTCAGGTAGATACATCCCAACTATGAAGAAAACATCCCTAATTAGTCCCCTTCTGTGACATGCTTGAGGGTGGGGTGGGGGGGGGGAGCAGTGTGTCCACCCCCTCAAAATGGGGCTCCTGAACCCACATGAGGAGATGTTTAATCAATTGATTTAGGGCAGAACATGATCTGCGAAGACACTTAAACACCTCAACTGTCTGATGATTCCAGGTAAGTTGACACCTTTGGTAATGTAAGCAGCATTCTTTTGAAACCTGTTCTAGTGACTTTATTACAAAAGCCTGGATGAAACATCAAGAGGTATGTTAGAATTAAACAAAACATTCATTTTGAATGAATAAAGCATTGTGGTTGGTGAGAGAAATTGCTTTAGACATTCAGGCAAACATCCCAGCTCGATTACCGTTTAAAAAAAAAAAATTGTGGTACCACGTTCATTATGACTGCATCCCTGTCAAATCATTGCTCATTGAGAGCTGATTTTTTTGTTTGTTTTGTTGAGATGTCTGAACAAAATGAGAATCAGGACTATAGGCTGGATGTTGCAAAATGTCCCATTTCTTTCGTGCTAGCGCTTCCTGCGCAGTCTTTACACCACACGGACGAGCATTATCATGCAACAGAATCACAGTGTGAGGAAGCAAGTCAAGCCATTTATTCTTGATGGTTTTATGCAGCTTGTCTAGTGTTTTCAAGTAGTAGCTATAGTTGATGTTGACATCAGCTTCTTTAAAGTCTGTCAACAATGGTCCCTCGTGTTTGAAAAAAAAAAAAAAAAGCTCAACATCTCCTTACCAGTGGAAACCTATGACCTGAATTGTTTAGTTTTTGGTGATCTAGCATGCTTCCATTGTCTCTTTTGTTGGCTGCTCTGCTCAAAGTGGTCAGATCATGATTTATCACCTGCCACTATGTGGAAAATAAATACCTCACTCTTTGCTGAGAATTGCACCAAGTGGTTCAGACAACATCCCACACGTTCCTGCTTTTGGTGATATGTGAGCATCTATGGTACCCACTGTGAACACACCAACCTGTATAAGTTTCTTATGAACAACCTTTTGAACTGTCCCAGTTGACCCATCCATTAATTTCGCTAGCAAACATGGTTTGACAGTGGTTCACCTGTACTGATATACATCAATTTTGTTGACAGTTTTTCTGTTGCAGCAGTATGCACCTGACCAGGCCGTAGAAGATCTGTCTCATTAAAGCACCTACTTTCCTAAACATACATGCCTAGTTGGTCACTGTTGTCTCGACACACAATTGTTGCTGTTTGCTGCGTGCATTCTTTGATAAATGGCCACGGGTCGAAATCCTTCAAATAAAAGAAACTGAATCACAGCTCTTTGAGCTATTTTGGGTGGATTTTAGATCAACCCTGCCATTTTGTCAACAGTCAGAAACAGAACCTATGCATCATGAGCTGATAAGCGCATGCTCTTGTATTCATTGGTCAGTACTTGTAACATTACTATGACACAATCATGTACAACGCACACAATTACGTCCTGTGTGACACAAATAGTTTTCAAATGAACGCTCCTCATACAGAGTGAAACTCTGTGGTTTATAAAGAGTTAAAGTAATAACTGATCGGACTTTAAAAGGTTAAAAGCAGTACAGTATATTCAGCAAGCTCTTTACTCCAGATTACTTCGGCTGTACTTAAGAAAAAAAATTTTAATCTACCAAATGACCACTGCAGATCCACAGCACAGAGTACTTAAACATATTATATAATAATTTGTATGTCTGGGGCACAGTTGTAGACACACTATATTTACAGTGAGTATGGCTGTAGATACATTGTCCCATATGTGTGTCATGAGCTCAAACACTGTACCATGTGACAGCAGTCAGTCGTTGAGACTTGACTATTTGTCGTTTAGTTGATGCAACGACTCCCTGTGTTTAAAAAGGTGTTGGAATTGTGCACAGTCTTTGGACTGACAGAAGAACTTACATGATCTGAATGGTACCAGAAGAGTTGACTCATTCTCTACCAGGTGACCCATCAGACTTTTGTTTGTCACTTTACCTCTATAATGAATGCTTTGATAAAGATATAAATAAATGTAGCTGATAGTTCTGTTGCATGTCAGAAAGAAAATGCTGAAATGTTCTGAATGTTTACTACTATATTACAGAGTATCTTAGTACAGAGTATCTTATCACATATTATCATAGTACAAAATATCTTTGCATGGAGTATCTTATCACAGATAACATTAGTGCTGACTATCTTATCACAGAGAATCTTATCGCAGTGTATCTTATCACACAGTATCATAGCACAGAGTAATTTTGCCATTGAATATCTTACCATAGAGAATCTTAGCACAGAGTTTCTTGGGACAGGGTATCTTATCATAGAGTATCTTGGGACAGGGTATC